GTAATTTCACCATTTCAGTACCTTCATTAGCAAAAAAATGTCATATTTTTCACTCATCAAAGTAACCTCCTCTAGCAGTTATAACAGCTAACAGAAAATACAAGGCATTCTTTCTACAAGGGACATTAAATAATGCTCTGTTTCATGGGATGACACAGTTGACTAGTGCATTTAAAGTTAAAGGACAGCCTAGAATTAGCTCAGACATGCACTGTTACATTTGGGCTCCCAGCACCAAGTGTCATACCTCTACCAGTTTTCCCAAGTCTATCTGGGAATGATGGTGTGACTCAGGGCCGTGCAGACACTGGGAATGATGGTGTGACTTAGAGCTGTACAGACACTTTTTGATGGCTAGGTGGTTGATGTTGTTGACGAAACAACAAAAAACTGCACTCAGTACCTTTCAAGGGAAACAAGTCCAATACTTCAGGCAAAAGGGGCAGGTCCTCCAGCCTCCTCCCCCCCCCCCCCAGCACGTGCCTGGTGTGATTGAAGATGCCAAGGGAATATCATCTCACATTATATAGAATGTGCCTCCGGCAGACTGGAAACTCGACTAATTATAAACCCAACAGGCCGGCATAAATTCTCACTGCAAAGATAATGACATAAAAAGCAAAACAAAATGAACAAAAATCACAGGCAGGGTGCTTCCTTCTGTTCTACTACAGCAGCTATGGCAACAAAAGCCATATTTGCAAATTTGAACTTTAACTCCTCCCTGATGGGGAACACCCACCAATACTCTATGGAGCTTTGCTCATACTGGTGCTGCATGGATTCATTCAGACAAGACAGACTGACAGTTTTTTCTGGGACATTTTCCTGTTGCTAGCACTACTAATTAATTAAAGTTTGACACTTTTGCCAGACCACTGTAACTGATGGCATGGAAAAGTGTGGTAATAATAGTAAAATCTTCACTAATTATATTCAACTTTACTAGCCAAACAACCAGACATTTAGGGGGATTTAATTTCTTGTCGTGTGTGTTATTTACAAATACTTGTACAATAATTATAGTGACTGGTCAAATTAAGCGGAAAATGTCCACTTAAGCAGTTGAGCCAAGAAGACAGTGGGCAAAACCTGAAGCGATGAACTACTCTATCAGGAAGAGCGGTAGAAGGTCCAACCTAGAAGGTCCATCCTATCACATAAGCAATTGTTGGGGCAGGAACCACATTATGCGACTGAGAGGCATAAAAAGAGTCTGCAAAGGGAGTGTGACAAGAGGGGAACGACCTTTGGAATGAAGAGCATTTCTGTGCTTTAATTGCTATTCACATTGTATTTGTTCATTTAATACACAGTTGAGGTTCAGTGCCTTACGTGGTGACATCACTCTGCAAGCCACAGGATTTGAACCAGCAACCTTCTGATCACAAGCTCAGACCCAGAAGAAACAGACTAACATAACACCCCCTGTGGTTGGTATTATGCCTAGGTAATGTCTTAAGACGCAGCCAGCGTAACCATAGATACAGCCCTGTTTGGAAGGTTGGGGATCCAAAATGAATTTGGGATATTTGGAACACTACACAATTCCTGATGTAGATTTCTGGTTCACAGACCTGTGTTGGCGCCCAATAATTGGGGCATTAATAACGGACCAGACCACACGCGGCATGTTTGCAGGGACCCACCGCTGCTAATTGCTGTGAAATCTTAATGAGAGCATTTCCTACACTTTCAATTGGATTAAACTGGCTATGACAATAGCCGTCAAGGTCGGAGGGGGTTACAGGATCAAATTTCGGCATAGAAATTTTCACGGGTTTCAAAGCAACGCGGCCCAAATGAGATTAGCGGGCCTTGAGGAGATTACGCCCGGGACGGGCAGCAGTGCGGCCTGCACAATGGAGACAAACTGAAGAGGAAAGGAGCTATTTACCATTATAATCTGTCCTCTCCTTCAGCTGACAAGGTGATCCAAGATGGAGCCAGATGTGCCACCCTGTCCAGTAAATCCGGAATTGCCCTCTTTCATAATAATTTCACTTATTTTCATTCCAGTCCTATATTCCTTACTTACTCTTACTATATTCAGTTCTTAGTATTTTTTTATGCCGTTGCAATATTTTATACATTCTGGTTCATATTTATTTATTTAATCTGATTTATTTCTGATCTTCTTAACTTTATTACCTTGCTACTGGACTATTTCTTAAATCTTATCTCACCTTGCCTTATCTTATCTCCAAGAGAGAAGTAGTCATTACTGGTTCCATTCCTGGTGTAAACATTAAAAAAATATATATAAAATCCCACATACCTGGCACAGATACCCACACCAAGACCTGATGCCAGTCCCCAACCAGGTTGCAGTACGAAATATTGTAAGCAGTTTTTTCCCAACTTCTGCTTACTTCAGTTCTCCTTTATTTCTATTAATATGTGTAATTAATGCTGATAAGTTCTGAAGCATCCTTGATATCAGAAGGACAGAGCTAAACGCAGATCCCCTAGAGGATCAGTGGGAAAAAAACAGGAATCATCTTTTGAATCTCTTGGCTACACTCAGTCGCAGTTTTATTAGCTGGGAATCCATGGGTGATTTTATTGCGAATGTGCCAACTTCCATTTTCAGACTTGGCTTTTGGTACCTATTCAGTTTGTGCTTTCAGAATTTTTCTCCTTTTTTGCCAAAACAGCAGGGATCGAAGAGTCAATCAAAATGACTTACTGCATAACTAGCGTCCTTGAGCGGGGGTGAGTGGGTGGGGGGTGGGGATCTTTTGGACCACACTGGAAGGAGGAGGGAGAAAACACATTTCAGATTAAGCAGGGAACATGACAGTTCCTGTACTATCTGAGAGGTTGCAGGCCAACACTGGCGGGGGATTCGGGTCCGTGGAGATTGTAACCTAGTCAGATAGCTGCTGCCATTGCACCTGCAGATTCTAACGGTGTCAGCCTTTCCCAGATAACGCACATAACACACAGCAGTCGCCTGATGAACACATGCATGCAAAGACATGTGACTTAGAACAGTTTCCCAACCCAGTCCTTAGGGACCCCCAGACAGTCCAGGTTTTTGCTCCCTCCCAGCACCCTGCCAGACAGTCCAGGTTTTTGCTCCCTCCCAGGCAGCCTCGGATTTTACTCCCTCCCAGCTCCCTGCCAGGCAGCCTAGGTTTTTACTCCCTCCCAGCACCCTGCCAGGCAGCCCAGGTTTTTGCTCCCTCCCAGCTCCCTGCCAGGCAGCCCAGGTTTTTGCTCCCTCCCAGCTCCCTGCCAGGCAGCCCAGGTTTTTGCTCCCTCCCAGNGGTTTTTGCTCCCTCCCAGCTCCCTGCCAGGCAGCCCAGGTTTTTGCTCCCTCCCAGCTCCCTGCCAGGCAGCCCAGGTTTTTGCTCCCTCCCAGGCAGTCTGCATTTTTGCTCCCTCAGAAATGTGAACTGTCTGGGGGTCCCCAAGGACTAGGTTGAGAAACACTGGCCAAGAACGTAAGAAGAATGTGCGACTTCACATAATGCGTTGGGACCATCACATACAGTATTAAAGCTTAATGCCCTTTACAGGGAATTCTGTCTGAAACTGAATCATGTTGCATTGCCACCTCTACAGTAGAAATATGAACTAATGAAAGAATATTATAATAAGCTTTGTGGGTAACAGCTGGAAATGTATGGATGCATAAAATTCCTGTGAAAGGCGTGCCATCACTAGACCATGTTTCAGCACTGTAAATGCTTATGTAAATGCTTCCATACGGGAATATTAACTCACTGAGCGATTTATTAGGGACACTAATACACCTGCTTAATCATGCCGTTATCTAATCAGCCAGTCAGGTGGCAGCAGCACAGTGCATAAACGCATGTAGATGCAGGTTAGGAGCTTCAGTTACTGTTTACATCAGTCACAGGAATGGGGGAAAAAAATCTGATCTCAGTCATTTTGACCGTGGCATGACTGTTGGTGCCAGACAGGTTGGTTTGAGTATTTCAGTAACTGTCGGAACCCTGGGATTTTCACGCACAACAGTCTCTAGAGTTTAATCGGAATGGTGCAAAAAACATTCAGGGAGTTGGCAGTACTGCAGATGGGAATGCCTTGTTAATGAGAGAGATCCGCGGAGAATGGTGAGAATTTGGTGTCAACAGCATGAATCCAGGGACCCAACATGCCTTGTCAGCAGTGTCAACAGTTCGGGCTGCTGGTGGTGTGATGGTTTGGGGAATGTCTTCTTGGCATACTTCTGGCGCATCCCTTCATGGCTACGATTTACCAATCTTCTAACAGCTATTCCCAACATGATAATGTACCATGTCACAAAGTAAAAGTTCTCTCAAACTGGTTTCATGAACATGACATCCCAGTCAGTGGATCTGAATCCTATAGAATCTCAAAGGAATGTTTCCAACATCTTGTGGAATCCATACCATGAAGAATTGAGGCTGTTTTGAGCGCATAGGGAGGCCCCACCAAATATAGTGTTCCTAATGAAGTGCTTAGTGAGTGTAGTCTGTAAAAACTGGAAACATTAACTGACAGAGAACAACCAGGAATGTGTGCAGGACCTGTGATCATTGAGTTCAATAAAATGACTGGGTAAATAAAGGTTACAAAGCACAGTGAAACAGACCAAAAATGCCCACCATTGACATTAGAGGTCAACAACATACTGTAGGTCATCGTCTGGCAGGGAGCAAAATTAATTTAATGCAATTTAATTTTAAAATAGCCACTCAGAGTCTCTGAAAGCGTTTTCCATTTTAAAAAATGGTCCTGAAACTGACTGGCAACAAAATGGTTTTGAGGATGAAGCTAGCTAATGTCACTATGTGAGGATTAAATTAAAATGAGAGTACGCCCAAAACATCAAATTCCCAACTTAGCTCAAACTTCAGCAATAAAATATTGAGTACTCCAATTTCACGCTTCTTTTGAGCAGTCCTGCTATTAAATATTTATCATTCTGTGCAGCTGGTCGACTGTCCACGTGCATTTTCAGATTAGCTGGCATTTTTAAACACAATTCAATCAAGAGACACTTTACTGAAGATTTAGACGTCATACCTTTATTTGTAAACAGTATCCTTCATACTACAGTTAACAGGAAACAGCATAACATGCAAGACGAAGGACAAAACAGAAGTAAATGGTAATAATAACTTTAATATTAATAAGTAGAACGATAATACGTGGAGGATTGAGATAACGTGATTTAGTATCTGTCGGTGGCATTAGTTGGGCAACATGCACTGCAAACCTGCGTTTTTCTTCACTGAAAAATTCAAGAACTCCGTCTCCCAAGAGAACTGGGGATCCGTAAGATATTCTCCCCGGTAACAGTTCATGGTGAGGGACACTCTCCCACAATTCCCTGCTGCCGGTGGTGCCAAGGCTCTGTCGCGTTTGCAAAGAAACGGACGCCTGTAGGGTGGTGACTGCTTCCCCTCGGGGTGGTCTAGCGGGGTTGGGGGGAGTGAAGGGTCTCTATGTGACTGAGGATAGTTGGCGGGGGGTGGGGGGGGTGTGGAGTGGAGAGGTAGATCCATCCCAGCCACCCCAGTTTATGCCCACGTGCCTTAAAATACACTGGGGGAACTGGCAGATCTGCAGGCTGCAATGCACCCTGACCACAACATTCTATCCTCAAGCAAGCTGAATTAAACAAATCTGAAGACAAATGGAGAATTATAATGTCTTCGCCTGCACCTTTAACAAACATAAAAATAGTACAAAGTAGTAATATATTTAATCTATGTAATTTTTAAGTCATGGATAACATTTGTGAAAACAATTAGATTCTCAGGATGGCGCCCATAATTATATGACCAACATGGCAGACATGGTATTTAGATGACGCCTGATTGGTTCAGCAAAGCATGGTGAGGGTTGTGCCTCTATACATGAAAGAAAAGCAAACCTGTCTCATTCCTGGTGAAAATGATAAACCCCCCATGGAGGACAGGACCGGAGACCAGGCCGGAGGGCTACATGTGGACAGAAACAGCGCTCTTCTTATTACCTTAAACAGATAACGTGATTTCACAAAAATTAAAGACGAGAAAAAAGTAAAGACCATTTCTTGATAACACAACCTTGATACACAGAGGTAAATGACATTTAGAGTAGGACCTGACTTAATTCTTTATTTCCGGTATAATACAGTGGATACATATGACATCACTGATTACGCTGCATGTATTTCTGATTTGCTTGAGGTTTAACAACTAAGACACACCCAAGCCAAATACATCATATTATCTTCTTTGTAGTCTATGAACAAAAACCTGTATGTACACGAGCTAAATGCTTCATGCGTATCACTAATGTAAACGGGTGATTAGACAGGATGCAGTAAGGCAATCTGCACATGGTCAATCCTGTAGGTGAGCACAGACAAACCAGTAAGATGCAGATCAGTACATTTTTTTTAAAATTCTTTACTCTCAATAGGAAATCCTCCAGAGAAAAGGATTAGATCATACAAACATAGCTGTTTAGGCTAAAACAAACCCATGAATCTGAAAGTTAATAACCAGAACCAACTGTTCTTACTTTTTTTAAATCTAGAAAGTATTTATTCATTAAAAAATATACACCTAAAAAGGACAGATCCAGTCATTCAGCTCACTATAAGAGGGTCAAACAGGGGAGCATGTGACCAAAACACCCCTCAGAGATTTTGGCTGAACAGACAGGGCCAATCGGGGGGGGGGGGGGGGGGGGGGGGGCGAGGGTTTTTACGTGAAGGGTTCAGCTTCACAGGCACTGAGGTCTTATGGGGGGGAGGGGAGGCAGATGTACTATAATTTGGGTTTGTAGGTGTTGGGGAGGGGGATTCATTCCATCGGTCACTCTAAATAAAATGATTTCAGGAGAGGTGGTGTCGCCACGAACGTGGCAAATGTGGGGGGGTGAGGGGACTGGCGTGCGCATGACGCAGGGCCCGGGCAGCGCTGAGCGCTGACATCACACGGCACGGTGGGGGCCGTCATTATGCCGCTGCGTTGCTAGGAAATCTGGGGGCGCTCAACGAGGAGGCGAGCGAGGTTCCGACATTCACCCGGGCGACGGAGCTCCGTGGAGCAGTCGCTTCGGTTGCCTACGTTTAGTGCAAGACTGCTCTTAAAGGTCCTGCCCGTTAGGGGATTGGCACGAGTGCAGGATGAAGAGGAGCAGGGGCAGGAAGAAAAGCAACGGGAAGCAGATACAGGCGCAAAGTGTGCTTAAGCCTGCCTTTCAACAATAAAAGAGAGCAAAATCAAATCAAGACTAAGCAAACACAGAGATCAGGATAAAATGCTATGATGAGCTTCTGAGTTGATGTGATACATTAATTTCATGCCATAAGACCAGGCCTCCTCACTGTATTTCATGCGATAACTTTAATTTTTTTTTTCTTTTTGATTTTGCATGCACGATTCTCCTGTCACTACATGCAGATAAGGAAAGTGAAGTATACTGTATCAAGGGGATCAAGTCACCCGTGCATTCAACCACGCTTAGCTATCAAATCCAGATATGTCCAAAAACACATGGAAAAATATCCGATGCATTTTTCAAAAGTCGCACATATTCCATACAACTCACGATACCAAACCTAATAAAGGATTTTCCCCAAGTCATAACAAAGACACTTCTTTTTTTGTGTAATTTTTTTACATAGAAATGTTCAACTATGTTATGTAATAAAAGCACATTCAGTTTTTTTGGTATAAAAACCGCTGTTTTTTTTCCTTTCAAATAATGTTTTAGTATTTACAAAATAGTAAACGCACCATGTTGCAGCAGACATCTGATTAATAGTGCTTGAAAATGTGACAGGACGTTAAAAATAAAAGAAATTAATGAAACCTTAAAATGTATAAATCTAATGGCATATCAGATCAAGTGACCTGAACATTTATAGCACACAGGATTTAATGATACTCCAATTAGCACAGAATTGGGCTAAATCAATGACTAAGAAGCCAAACACTTCCATCGTGCATTTGCAAACAACTAAGCCTTTGATTAGTCAAACATCACCTTCCTAATCAAAATCTCGGCTTGATTAGGTATTTTCAGCCCCAAACAAGGAGTTTTGTTTGAAAATGACAAATGTGATTGTGTGGTAATACTCAGGTGCCGTTTTCTAATTTAGGATGAAAATTTGCTGGATGGATTGACGATATCTCTTGCCTCAGTGGGCGATCTTGGCAGTGACGTGTCTAAGAGCTTCGGGAAACATGGGCTTATGAAGAGTTCGGTAGATATATGGCAGGGAGTCGCGTTAGCTGGACATCCCTTTGCTGGGAGAGCGAGATGTGGCCTCAAGCTGTAAAAAAGTTCAGCGTCAGGGCATTATTGTATCATTTGACACAAAGACATCTTAGATAAACTGGCAGCCCTACAACCCTTCTATGGATTGTAGTCTTGGGGATGGGCAGCTGACAGTCAATTTGACAGATTCTTGTGGTTGTCCACCACAGATAGATGGGAGTGGGCAATTCAGATTGACAGGGGCCTTGGGGAAGGAGGGAAGGCAGGCAGAACCTCGGCGCCACGAGCGCTGACGTGTGAGGAACTGCGTGGGGGGGTTCCTGGGATCCTCTCCGCCGCCAGGAGACAGGGACACTAGGAAGGCTCTGCAGCGAGTGCCAAATTCCTGTCATGCCTGTTACACAAAGCCTGACATCTCGCCACCGCGAACAGACAGGCTCGACGACTTGTGCCGCGTCCAAGAAGCCTCCATGTGAGGCCGAGCTGCGGATGCTGAGACAGACACTGCACTTCCGACCGCTCGACGGGAGGTGAGCCCGGAACCCACCAGTGCAGGGCGGACGCAGGGAATGACACGTTTCTTCATTGGTGCTGCGTTGTCATGGCTACTGTTGTTTTCAGTACACAGAAAAGCATTGAAATCATAACCCAGTAATCTCCAGCGGTTCTCACAGTGGCTAGTTTTGAAATATGTCCACCCAGAAATGATACAAAATTCAGGTAGACTATCTGCATAAGCTCAATCTACAATATAGATTTTGTAACCTGTCCTATACATAATGTGGGTATACAAACTTTGGATTTTCCTCATTTGGATGTTTTACCATTTACAGGAAAATGCTAAACTCTGGAAAAATAAAACAAACAAACAAAAACAAAAACACGTCGCGTTTCACTTGGAGGGAGAACAGCCGGTCGTTTATTCAGTTGGCGTGTGTTCCAGCGCCCATGTCCTTCCCATCGCTCGCCTTCATACCACACTTTGCCTGGAGGGGTGGACGAACTGGCCGTTGATGAAGGAGAAGCCGTTGAACTCGGCCTGGTCGATGTTGGCGATGACGAGGTGATCGGGGGGCGTCAGCATCGGCTGGTTGCGGGTGAAGAACTTGTCGAAGTTTTCCGCCCCCTTGCCGCACTGCAAAGGGAGACGTGGATTTTGAGAAGAGCAACCAAACACAATTTAAAACGAGACCCTTTCTGACACATGGGCAACTCTGCCTGAGAAACGAACGAGCAGGTGTGTGACAAATGGGGTAGAACTTCACCTGACACTCTACACCTTCAACAATGACAAATGTGAGAAGGAATTCAGAGGAAAGGCTAATAGGCCCACAATCAAATCAGAAATCCATCCAAGCCTTTATCCAGCTCATGGTCATGGGGAGCTTGGGGGGCTCTCAACGCAAGCACGGGGGATGCCCTGGATGGGAGGCAACTAGGAAATATACGTTTTCGTGCCTAGGGTATCAGGAGGAAAGTCACGCAACACAGCGCAGGTGCCAGCCACTGCAGCCCCACAAACCTCACATTTCAAACTCGATCCCTTCGTTTCGATTCCCTCCCTGCCTGCAATTTACATGTTTTCTCTGTCTTCGTTTATATTTTTCCTCCCAGAAAAAAAGTCATGGAGTTTAGGTGAAAGGGTTTTCATCTTCATTGTATATGTGTGTGTCTGTCTGTGTGTGTATGAGTGTGTGTGTCTGTGTGTGTACAAGTGTGTGTGTCTGTGTGTGTGTATGTATGTGTGTGTGTGTGTCTGTGTGTGTACAAGTGTGTGTGTCTGTGTGTGTGTATGTATGTGTGTGTCTGTGTGTGTGTATGTATGTGTGTGTGTGTGTCTGTGTGTGTATGAGTGTGTGTGTCTGTGTGTGTGTGTGTCTGTGTGTGTCTGTGTTTGTGTGTGTGTATGTACAGTATGTATGTGTGTGTATGTATGTGTGTGTGTGTGTGTGTGTGTGTGTATGTGTGTCTATGGCCTCATTCTTGGTGTTCTACTCTCGTGTGACCTTGCATGGGACAAGCAATTATGGAAGATGGTTTTCTAGTTACCGAAGATCGATGCTCACGTACGGACAACGCTTACGGGAGCAGCCGCTAATGATCTACAAAACGCCCAGAGGATTCACTGACGTGAGACTGCATGAGCATCCGCACAAAGCTCATTTGGCACTTCTCTCACAGCGTCAACCGTCGCACAAAACAAATATCGAATTTCATGCTCCGCATAAATTTAGTCTGGATGAAATGTAATCGCCCTCTGCTTTAAAAGCAGTGTCACAGCTGAGAAAAACTATTCCCATTGAAATCAAATAAGTACTGTGAAGAACAGCACTTTGGTAAATGATATCACACCGCCTTCAGCAGACCCTGAAGGGTGTTTGAAATGCACTGACCACAGTACTTCTGTACAGTTATGCTTTTATTTTTCTTAGACAAGAGATTAATATTATGTTACATCAACTTTACCAATAATAGGGCAATAATTTTAAGTGATCCAATAAGAATTCAGGTATCTTTCAAGAGTAGGGGTGGTACCCAGATGTCATGGCTAAAATTGCTCACTGTGGCCCTTTTAAAACTGGCCTCCTAATCATCCCCTGTATCTAACCGGTGAATTCTCTCCTGCCCCTTCACCACCTTAGCTACTGTGTGGTGAGCATACTGGTGCAGAATGGCTGCCGTCACGTCATCCAGATGGGGGCCACACAGTGGCGGCGGTTGAAGTGGCTCCCCATTGGTTCTCTAAAGGGCTTTGGGTGTTTCGAAAAACATTATATAAATGTATAACATTTGTTCATTCATTCATGATGTATATGGTATGAACACCAACTTTGGAACTGAACTAAACAAGACAAGACAACCACAACCAAACTACCAGTGATGCCAGGGACCTTACCAAAAACCCTGTCAAGAAAATACTGACATATAAAATGTGGAACCTCTTAAATCCAGCCCCACTAGATTACAAGCCAAGCACTGAGCCTTATGCTCAAAGAGCGGCGGCGAGACTGGGACCAGAGCGGATCTAAGACTTGTAGCCAGCTACTTTGGGTTCAGAGCAAGGCTGCATGGACCACGCTCGATTCCAAGACCCCATCTCAGATGCAGCAGTTACTTCTCCACATCTTGGGAGACATATTGCCATGAGGCCTGCATAACCGACACCAGCCAAAAACCCCGTCCAGGTCATCGTCCCCTACAGAGAAACCCTTCTGCAGGGCTGAGAGGCCTGTGAACTGGCAAACAGCAAATGAGGAGGTGAGAATGGGACAGTGGGTAAGCAGCATGTGTGCACTCACCCCATGTTCCTTGCATTAGAAATGTCGGTAATGCTTTACTCCACCTTCATAATGCATTCATTATGTGTTCATAGAACATCCAGTACACCTTCATAATACATTCATTACGTATTCATAGAACATTCATAAGCAGCATGTAAGTATGCTTTAACATCCTAACAAACCTTAACCTTACCTAGTTTTACTACACATTAATAAAAACATTTACAACTATATGTTTATAAGTTTTATTATTATCATATAATGTTTGTTATTAATGTATAATAAAGCTGTTAAGGTATGTTACGATGTTAAGGTATACTTACATGCTGCTTATGTATGTTCTATTGATGCTTTACAAATGCATTATGAAGGTGCAATTAATGTTCTATGAATGAATTATAAAGGCATTATGAAGGTGCAGTTTATATAAAGCGCTACTCAAATGTCTAAAGGTCTGCAGATGAAGATAACCCAATGGCAATATGCCAGCAGTCAACACGGTTAAAGTTTTCCTAAGACTAGTTAGAGCAGTCGGCACTTCTGATTCCCCGGTCATGTCCAGATTCCCCAGGGTGCATTTCAGACACCTAAAAACGTTAGCGATACTTCACCCATCGCTTTTTGTAGCTAATCAATTGAAAGCAGTGTATACAGGAAAGACTGACTCACAGTACATATGCCTCAACCTCTCCAAAACGTCCACAACAACCTTCTCCTCCATTCCAGTGATGCTTACTCACTGGCTGTGTGGCTCTAAATTAGCACAGATACACACATCCTCTGAAAAATGCATGACGTGGAAAGGAACATGTCTGCTGTTTGCTCTAAGTGCAGCAGGAAGCTTGTTCAGCTTTGCAGTGGAGCTTAAAAATAGCTCTATTTAGAGCGCTCACGGTACACAAGCCGTTCTTTGGGTTCATGGAAAGGCACGCCGATCGCCCGTGTCTGGCCATGAACGTTGGAGGCTGGGTCGAATTTGTCTGGTTCTGGAGCTCTGACCGGCGCTGTGAAGGAGACTCCAGCGATGGGCTGGGAAAGATGCACGTGCTCCAGATGCAAACCGACGCTTCCTTTCATGGGACACCTGACATGTGTCACATGAATATAGAAACACCATGGGCTGCCAGACCCTCGTACCGCAGGCGGGGTCCGCGAGGGAAACGGCTGCTCAAGGCTGCCTTCTCAGAACGTTGCAGTAGAGCACAGTTCTGAGTGAATAGTTATAAAAACACATCACCTGCATCTCTGGACCCAACAGCGAAGAGGGAGGAAGACTCTTGTCCAGTTCACACGGCATCTGACCGTACAGCCAAAACATGAAACTTCTTGTGTGGATCTAAACTCTGTTCCCATGACTGTCTCTGAGCTCTTATTTCCATGAAAAGCCCAGCATGCAGGTACACACGAGACATGGATCTAGAGCTGAGAGATGGACAGGACTCTGTCCTGTATAAAACACCATCTAATATAACTGTATCTGTAACATTACTCAGACCATTTATTGGGCAAATGGCCATGGAAGGTGAATGGATGTATCTTTAAGATAAAAGCTTCTCCATCTCACAATGGGTCTCACCTCACATGGCAACCCAACACAGTGAATAAAAGCCCTTGGATCAAGGCCCTTTCCTGCTCACCGCAGCCTGCAATGTTACCCCATTGCACGCCAAGATGGCAGTCCATTTATCCTGACTCTAGGCTGTTTATACCAAGCCGAGAAGCAACTGTGGGACAGTCTGAGTGGCACGTCGGCCCAGACGGTCCCAATGATACACGGGTGCCCTGTGACCTCGCTAAAGCAGCACGCGTGTGCGGATCCCCAGCCACCGGTGATAACCCGCCGATCGATAAACAGGCCCTCGGCACCTGGGCTGGTCCATCGATTGCAATTTTCCAGCTGTCAGACCGCTAAACTGGGTCCTCATGAGAGCTGTGAGCTCGGAGACTGAAGATTAATTGATCCGGGCCGGGCGTGGTGAGGAAGTCTGGGGTGTCGCGGTTAGTATTGCATCGAGTATTGTGGTGAGTATGGAGGTGAATCTGAGTACTACATTACCCATACAGAGAGACCTGCCTCTATATTAAAGCCCTGTCTGCTGAAGATAGAAATCATTAGCAAGGGTACTGGATCATACCAGAGGAGGACATCCACACTGCATCCATACGCATTATATGTTAATACTGTAAGTACACATTTTGCTAAGACTTCCATACATACATCTTCCATGACCACTTACCCAAAGTAGGATCATAGTGACCCCGGACCCTATATCCCAGGATGCAGAGGGCTCTGCCGTACAATCTGTGCCTTCAGTCATTAACTTCTTACTGCTCCTTATTTATTTTTTGTGCACTAACTATTATTTTATGGAACAATCTTTATAGTGGTTTATTTTATACACTCACTCTCTCCACAAAACATCCCCTGCACCCAGCTTATAACAGATTTCCCACATTGAATGCTTCTGACATTAAAGGTCCCATCTTCGTGAAATCGGGCTGCAGCATTCTAAGGACCGTCAAGCATCAAATGCAGGGAATAACCGCGGATCGCATGCAGAATAAGCAGGCTAATTGAATCAAGCGGCATCTGCCAGGAAAGCAATTATTCGGCGGCATTTTGACAAGTGGCGCTGTAAATGAGCGCGGTGCTGCCAGTGGGCTTGTGAGCAGGCTCCTGCGTCACGGGGGGGTGGGGGCACGAAAGCCGGAGGATGGGTGCACGCACAGAGCACGCGAGATGGCCTGGTGAAGTAGAGCAGACACCAGGAGAGCAGAGGCCAAGACCGGTGGGAGCGGCTCGTGAAGTTCAGTCTTGTTACGATGCCGTCGTGCCCCTCTGACATACAGTATCACCACTGCGCATTACCCTTTATTTACTGCTCACTGCAAGGTCTGTCTTATATGAGCTTTCCCTGAGCATCAGTACTGATTTATTCTTGACGTTAGGCCTGAAAAATGTTTTGAATCACAAGCTGTGTGTGTTAGATTTATTCGAAAAAATGGAACCATCTGAATGTCTCTTATGACGTTCCGAGGCCACAGGCTGTTTTTATGTCGAAAACCTGATGCTAGTGACTTTGACGCATTGCCTTCAACAGCATGTTAGAGCTTTCAGAATGAAGGCGATCGGCTACTTCTGTCGGGGCAGAGGTACGATGCACGTCACGCAAAGCAGCGGACGCGTCGGGGGACAGCTGGCACAGAAGTAAGAACCACAAAACAAAATCCTGTCTGGGCAAGAGCAGTATTTGAGAGGTGTGCTGTGGATGTGAAACTGGGGCAAGTGAAGAATGGACAGGTGACACAGTCGGCGTGGTGGCCTTGGTGACATTTGTGGGCAGCTCATAATACAGCATCAGTTTAGGAACACAGGTACAATACTGACCTTCACATGGACATCATGGATTCTAGTTCTACAAAAAGAGCACAGATTGTATTCTCCCAAGGTGTTTATGTAGCTTTCAGTTAAACTGACCACTGTTTATATCCACCTGTTTAAACGAGTAAACATGTGGAACCTTGAGCTCTGAGTCACTGTATTCTGAGCAAGGAGTAATGCATAAATTCACAATCTTCAACACTAATTTTCTTGATTGCGGGGGAACAATCCATTCAAAATCCAATCTGAAAAATGCAGGACCGCCAGAGTGGTGAAATCTGAGAATCGTTAAAACCAGGGGGTGTGTTCCTATGGGCTCACAGAAGCATTACTGGGACACACCTGATGAAGAACATGACAGCAAGAAGGGACAGCATAAGCACTTAGCCTGTCTTCTGGAGGTTCGACACTGACTCGGCTGTGCTTTGTTATCACTCAGGGGACAGCAGATGTTAGAGCAGAGACAGCTGTGTGCTGAGCATGTGACCTTTAACCTGCTAGGGGGGCACATATGGCATCAGCGGGGGCAGCCTAATCAGGTCGGAGAGAGCGTGAGCTCGGCAAATGTGTGTACAGGCAAAGCACATACTAAAGTTCCATCCATCCATGCATCCATCCATCCATCTCCTGTACTTGCGTGTCCTTTTCAGGGTCACAGAAGCCTATCCTAGAAGCTATGGTCGCAAGACAGGGAATAACCCAGGAAGGGGTGCCAACCCATCACAGGGTACACTCACCATTCACACAAGCACATGCACACAGATGGGCAATTTTACAGGTCCAATTCACCTTAGCATGTTTTTGGACTGTGGGGGGAAACCCCAGGACGACACGAGGAGAACATGCAGAATCCACACACCTAGAGACTCAAATCCCAGTCCCATTGCTGTGATGCATAAATGCCATCCACTGTGCCACTGCGCCACCCCAAACAATAAAACTGTAATATGGGATGCATTGAGGGGTGTGTTTATTTAGCAAGAACATCACATGTTAAGCACCCCTGTAGACAGAGTCATCTCCATCCATGTTTGTGATAATGGTCCTGCACTTTGAGAGTGAAGCGGAGGAGGACCGAGGGCCAGGCCGAGGGCAGCACTTACCACTTTGGGCTTAAAGGGCGGCTGGATCTCACGGTTTTCCAGCCGCTCCCAGTCGATGCGCCGGAAGAAGGCGTGCTCCTTGATGTCCCGCTCGCCCTCCAGCCCGCAGCCCAGACGTTTGGAAGGGTGCTTGGTCATTAGCTGGGGGGACAGAGGCAGGATGCAGTGACGTCAGGTTAGGGCTGTGGGACACTGAGCACCAGTGCAGTCATGCTACCGTGGTAACCATGGAGTCCAAGGAAGGCCCTTCAGGGACCGCATAAGCTGGAAAGGTGCCAGAAATAGGTGATACAGGTGCCAAACTTCGCATCTCTCCACATGTCACAATGCTTAAGGCATGCAGAATGATTTCAGCGGGATTAAAATGCATCAGTAAATCTATTTCTAAACCCTGACAGGCTGAGTTATATATTAATAACTGATGGCATTAATAATTCATTCTTCTGGAGATCATGCGCCATCCTGGCGTGTTTCAGGCACGGGGTTCTGAATGACCCCAGGTCACACGGGCCAGAGGGAAACTGACTGACTGCAGAGTGGCCGCCCCCTGCTTCGCTGCCAAGCCCCTCCGCCTCGAACCCAGCGAGATGCGGACACCCCCAGTCGAACATGCTGCACGGGCTGCAGTCGACAACCACAGCCTGTGTGTGGCAGCTGATTCTAGGCTTTCACAGCAATGTACTTTTTGACTGGACCATTGGAATATCATGTTTGGCTAATCGATATCTATTTTAGTTGTTTAACTAATTAAGTTAATTAATTCAGAGTGCTAGTGGTAAACTTGAACAAATTCATGGAATGGCTGGTGTACCCCTGGGGTGCCCAGAAATGGTGTTCATCTAGGCCAGGGGTCTCCAACTCCGGTCCTGGAGAGCTACCGTCCAGTAGGTTTTCTATCCTACCTGGCTTCTGATGAGCCACAACTGTTCTCAGGTAAATACCAGGAGCAGCTGTGGTTCATCAGAAGCCAAGTGGGACAGAAAACCTACTGGATAGTAGCTCTCCAGGACCGGAGTTGGAGACCCCTGATCCAGGCAATCAATAAGATACCAGTAACTTTTTGGAGAACAGAAGACATTCTTGTTAGATTTTACTGTGCAACTTTTAATTTGCATATGTTGTTTTTTTCTGCGCAAATATACACTGACTGCCAAGATACACTTGCTGCCTAAGAATTTTGCACAGTACTGCATATAAATATATAACCAAGTTACCCAAGTCTTCATTGCCGCCTCCTCCTTTCCAGACCACAAATGTAACATGACAGGAAAATGAATGCAGTGTTTGGAAATAAAACTCAAGCTGCACTTTCTGCGCGAGATTCATGAGGCGATGGAAGCGCAGTGCCAGTTCCCGCACTGCGGAGAGAGTATTGGTTGAGAGGCGTCACCCCCATTGGCCACAAACGGCGGCAGAACTGAACCAGAGGCCTCCCAGACGCTGGGGTCCTCGTGGCCACAGCTGCCGGAGATGAAAACACAATTCACAGCTATTTTCACGGGCCTGTGCGCCTTCGCTGGCTGAAAAGCCAAAGCTGAAGATGCATCTAATAAATAAGGAATTCTGCCTGCTGAAGCACGGCAAACAGGTCGCTTTGAGGAAAGTTCCCTCATTAAGGAAGCAGCTCTGCAATGCCCCAGCAACTTCACTGCCGTCCTGCTCTCTTAATGATTTCCTTGAATAAAATAGTTTAATTTTTGCATTGTCTCAGTTTTCTGAAGAGGCTTTTTTTTGGTAGCAAGCAGATATTTAAGAAAGGGATGAAAACATTGCTGAGAGGGAAGTAAGGGGGGCAGTGTGAAGCTGCAGGGTGCAGTTTCAAACCCTACTCCAGGGTGCAGTTTCAAACCCTACTCCAGCTCCGGATGTGGGATGCTCTCATGGTCTTCGTCGCCTGGGTTTCCCCCAGGTACACCGGTGTCCGGTGGCAGTCCAAAATCATAAGGCATTCCTTGGACTGGCATCCTCTCATGCTGCCCTAGATTGCTTGAGATTGGTTCTAGGCTCGCGGCAACCTTGTATTGGATGAGCGCTTTGAAGATGGACCGATGGATGGCTTGACCTTGTCCATAAGCAGCCTGCCTCACTGTTGTTGGGCAAGGAGCATTCAGTAGCTGTCACAGGGCCTGATGGCATACAGAAGCCATCAGCAAACTTAGAAGAAATCTACTGACACTCAGGCCCTTGACTCCAAATAGGATGAAAGCAGAGGGTGGGGCTTTCGTTGCAGTCATGTGACACGGCATTGCATAATACCATATTATGTAATAACTTGACAAAATGTAACAAATTTTTGTTAATTTAGGTAATCAGGGGTATGTTCCTGAAAACTGCGATGCTAAGCGTAATGAGGTATAAAATGTATGAGCAAGTTGATAGTGGGTTATTAAACCAGAGAGAAAGAGAACTTCTTACCCATGAAGTAATCAGAAGTAAAATACTGTTTTAGACTCAACCTTCTAGGACTGAAACTATAAGGATGTACATTGGGAAATCGGGGGTTAGAACAAACACCCTTGCGCAGAGTTGGTGGATGCCAATCAGCACCAATGCGTTCTGGGGGCAGGGTGGTGCTGAGACAGCGCCGTGATGTAGTAAACTCTCTGGGACATGCTGGGAATGCGGCAACCTCTTCACAGCAGGAAATGCAGAGCGTATGGGATGCAAGCACTACAGATGCAGCATGAGAGTCAGGAGGGCCAGCAGCATGGTAAACAGGGACATCCAGCCAGAAGGTTGCTAGTTTAAGTCCTAGTTGGAGCTCTGCTTTTGTGCCAGCCGGTTGCTGGGGGACGTCTAGGTCTGAGGGAAAAATGCCACTTTTGATGGAATGTGTCACCTAATCATCTAAATCTAAACGGCCACAACATTGTGCTGCCACCGCGCTAACAGGTCACCAGATCAAGGCAGAACCTGCGTTCCTGACAGCTGCATTTGCCCTCAGAAATACGCCTTTCACACATACGCAGCATCACAAGGGGAGTGATTAGACTGCTGATTAACGCCTCATTCTGCGTGCAAACCCCAATGCTTCTGCATGTTAATTAACGAGATGCATCCAAATCACCTCAAAAACTCCATTCTGATGTCAGGACCTGAACCACTGCCAAAATATCAGCAAACCAAACCATGTGTCTCGCTCTCGTTGTCTTCTGGGCCAGGGCAGTGACAGAAAGTATATTTTCATTAGGGACCAGAGCTCCCTAAATGGGTGGTGGTCTGGTACCAAATGAATGAAGCGGGTTGACAAATGAATACAGATGAACCCTTCAGTGTTCCTCTGGACTGGGCCTGACTGAGAGAGACCGGCGAAGCAGGGGCAAGTGCAATGCGAGAGCGCGTATGGAACACTTCATACGTTAATGGTCAGGTCGCAGGTTCTGCTGCACAACAGGGCATAAAGTCACTTGGAGGCACTGTCATTCTTCTGTGTGACCTCTAGGGGGCAGCTTGTTTGCCACACTGACCCCAGTCTCTCGCTCAGTTTGTCAAGCTGCCAGGATACAAGAAGGCATATCCTGACAGCCATGTAAACCCACAGAGCTGTGAGAACACAGCTGGATATCTGACCTGGAACACTAACTAACTAGCACTGCTGAGAGCAACCCAGTCACCTTCCAAACACACATCCTGGGTAAGAATCACAGTGAGCCTGAAGTGTATCCCAGGGGGCATTGGGTTCAAGGCAGAGGAGCACCCTGGATGGGATGCCAGTCCACTGTAAGGCACCAAAACAGAGATGCTAAATCACCTAACAGGATCGTGGGAGGAAACTGGAGAGAACATGCAGACTCCACCCACCCAGCAGGGGTGGGATTCGAGCCAACAACCGAGGAGACATGAGACCTTAGGAACACCCACTGAGCCACTGCAGGGTTTCACCAGCAAGGGCTTGGAATGAGAATTCAGTTTGAATTTAGCTACTTTTAACAAAACATCCAAGATCTGTTACCTGACTAAATAATTATAATTCAATTAATGCATTGTCCCTTCTTTTTACTGTTTAGTAGATAGTTACAGGAGTGGGGCTAGAAACTCCCTTCTGGGCCAGGACATCCGTCTTTAGGTGCAGACATAACTGTGATGTTCCAGGGCCACTAAATGGGTGGGGATCTGGCACTTCCTGTCTGAAGGGTGATTTGTGGCGCAGGAGGTAGTGCTACTGTTTGGGAACCAGAAGGTTGCTGGTTTGAGCCATGACTCCTCCTGACCCCATCAAAGTGTCCTAGAGCAAGACGCTGAACCCCAAAATGCTCCCGGTGAGTGGGTTGGTGCCTTGCATAGCAGCCTCCACCACTGGAATGTGAGGCAAACTGTAAAGCGCTTCGAAAAATGCACTATATAAATGCAATCCATTTACCATGAACAAATTTGGGTGCCATGGGACACAGAATTTGCCATGTGGGGGGGTTCCCCATGGTAGAGAAGATTTTGCCGAGAAGGGGCCCCTTCTTGGTCAGCTTGCAAGGGTTAGAATATTACTATATTTATGCAGGTTATTCTGCATTTATACTAATAATGTCACATTTTGTCACTCAGTGATTACTTAGTAGTTACTGCTTCCTCACATATGCAGGGTTGTGGGTTCAAATCCCACCTCTACTCTTTGTGTGCAGTTTGCATGTCCATGTCAGCCAGGCTACCAGCATGCAGTAGGTCTAACTGGTGCCTTGCAACTGCCAGTAGTGGATGATTATGGGTGTTGACCCTGCGATGGACTGGCATCCTGTACAGGGTGTCCCCTGAATTTAGGGTGACCACCTAGTCCATGTCAGGGGACAATATGAACTAGGACAGGGTCGGTTTCAATTAAAAGGACCCGGATTTCACTTTAGTACTGCAGTGTGCTGATTGGTCAGTCTCCTATAATCATGCTAAAAAACACTAATGCTAATGTGAAACAGCTGGATGAGTGTTTCAATCAAGGAAACAAACCAGTAAAAGTACAAGACGAACCAAATAATTTACCCAAGCTTTAAAGTAGTTTGTAAAACCTGAAGTGGCTCACAGTGTCCCTTCTGACACTGATTAGGGGGTCACCCTGCCTGTATTGTGTCTTGTGCTTCCTGGGACAGGCCCCCCCTGTGAGAAACTGGGCATCACGGATGTGCAAAGTATTTGGGATTGCAGTCGCAGACGGTTTAGATCCACGTTCTGTGATACAGGGAGGAATCATTGGGCACAGACGTCATTAAAAGCTTTCTTCGCACCCGGGTTTGGTGTAAACCTGATCTCATCACCAGAGACGTGTTGTTACAGACACACATGATCACGGTGTCACAAGCTGCCCCTTGTGCTGCTGTTCCTCTGCACCCAGGCGCTGGGCAGACCTGTGAACCTGCTGAGTGCTCTATGGCACAGAAATATGCCCCCACATGCCCACACAGGGGACACCTCTGCTCCTCCCACCAGCACTCCTGCCACCTTTACCCCTCAGAGCCTGTTTTCTGTTTGTCGTGATACAAAAAAAATCTCATCTTGGCAACGTAAACGCCTCCTAATCTCTCAAAAGGGCTTTTCCATGCTCTGCCTTTGCTGGCTGCCGATCTAGGGATACGAGGAAGGGGACGTCGGCCAGGATCTACCGCTTATACAGTATCTAAATGCTTTGCGTAAGGGACACTGCATTAGCATCGCTAATCTAGTCACGGCAGTTGCTCCCCTGTCCCTCGTATGGGTCCATGGAAATGCCAAACTGTTTTTATACAGCATCAAACGCTTTGTCTCTGGCTAAGTATCGGGCTATAGGCCCCAGGCCAGGTTTCGGCAGCGGTATGTCGATAGATATCGCAGTACGCTAAGCACTACTCATCTGGGAGAGGTACGGGTCACGCTCTAACAGCGGCCGTAATGATATCACAAGCAGCATTAATGCATCTGCGAACAAAGAGAATCACATAAATTCGGTGCTTGGCGTTAGATTTATAGTTCAACTTCCCATCCCGCCACTGGTCTCCGCGGGTACAAAAGCCTTAGATAAGCAGCTACATAATTAAGGGATATTTCCGCTGCAGAAGGTCCCCTGGGCCTGGTCCTTTGCTTTGATTCCCATCGCTACCAGCATTGAGCTACCTGCACCGCTAATAGCTCAGTAAGGCTTCAGATCACTGGATTTAATTGTTGCTATTCATTAACTGCTGCCTCTAAGGATTAGAAAAAATATCTGCGGGAAACATCTTCCTGAAGGCTCCATGTATATTTACTGATGATATTATACGTGAGAAGCATGTCTGACCAGTCGGTGTGTTCGCCACACTCCCTGAGGAACGTCGCCCCGAGAGCAGCGTTCCCGCACGGGCAAGTGGGACACGGCTGCAGGAGGGAGCGTCGCAGCCTTCAGAAGTGGAGAGGGATGGAGTAACGTGGCTGACTGACTTACGCCTTTGCAGATGGACACTGCCTCTTTGGACATGGCCTTGGAGTAGGACACGTTGTGCTCCATGATGGACTGGAAGAGCTCGTCCTCATCTTCTCCATCGAAAGGAGGCTGTGAGATACCAGGGAAAAGGAAATGCAAATGATCTGATCATGGTGCCTGGATCAGGGCTAAAGCATGATATGCAAGTGTGAGTGTGTGTGTGAGTGCATGAGTATGTGTGTGGGTGTATATACTGTATGTATGTGTGTGTGTGAGTGCATGAGTATGTGTGTGGGTGTATATACTGTATGTATGTGTGTGTGTGAGTGCATGAGTATGTGTGTCGGTGTATATATGTATGTGTGTGTGTGTGTGTATATGTATGTGTGCGAATATGTATGTGTGTGTGTGAGTGCGTGTGAATGTGTGTGTATGGGTGTATATATGTATGGGTGTGTGTGAATTTGTGTGTATGTGTACAGTATGTGAGTGAGTATGTGTGTGTGTGTGTGTGTGTGTGGAGGGGACTTAGAAAAATCACAGGAACAATGCAGTTGTGATGTAAAGCAGGAAACCAGAGACTTTCAGAGACATGTTCTGCGTGCAAACCCACAACAGGAACGAAGCTCAGTTTATTGTTAGATGCGTAATAAACAGCAGGGTCACACCAGCTAGTCTATAATCACCAAAATTACATGCCTGTTTTCATAAACGATCTTATAGAAAAATAAAAATATCTTAGAGGAGATTAAAAAAAAATCTAGCAACATGCTCTGCTCACTTTTTTTTTTGCATGAAATGAGTCATGTGTGATTGTTTCATCTATTGTATTATTTGGATTAAGATATCAGGGTTTTTTTTCCAAAGGTGTTTGGTGAAGAGCAGCTGAATAAAAAACAGCCTTCTGCTAACAGCCCTCTCTGCCAAAAACAGCCCTTCGCATGAGAGGTGGATTTATATATATTTACACACATATATATACCACAGTACACTCTTTAACCCTTTCACCGTGCCCAGGAACAACCAACAGCCCCAAAACCTAGACATCCTGAAAGAGAAGGCCTGCTCAGCCACACGAGGATTTCAACGGGTAGTCAGTAAGAGCATGAAGGAGGGTGAGACTGCGGTCGGACGGCCTGACGGAGACACTACAGGGACCGTGAAGCTGGCCGTGTGCAAAGCCGTGTGAAACAGCTGCCACTCCACACCTTCACAGCTCCCACAGCTCACAGCGAGGGCGGACGGGTGCTAACCTGAGCCTCAGCTCACAGGTCGACACCCCCTGCCACTGACTGACTCCCACCCCAAATCAGGGAAAGCGTTAACCGCAGGGGAGGGCCGAGTACTTGGGTCGCTCCCCGTAGCAGTGCGGGGAAATACAAAATGACATTTCTACTTCATGATACTGTGAGGCCCACTTAAAGCTTGACGTTGACGCCGGTGATGAGTGGTGTTTGCTACAGCGACCTAATGAAGATGTAGAAAGCTGATTGGAGGGTGGAGAGCGGCAATAATGGGCAGAAAAATGGGTAGTTCGCAGGCGGTGGGGGCTGGGTTGTGAATCTTCCCCCTCGTAATGTCCTCTCTGCTCCCTGAGTGTGTGTGTGGCATTGGGTGAGTGCAGAGTGCACTTCTGACTATAGAATGCATTAGCGCAGGCCCTTTGGTGCTGTGATATGCGGGCACAGGGGAAAAACACACCAACACTATGTGAACCACCATGGTTTATGGACTCGAGAGCAGTAGGGAGGATGGAGCAGGAGATGCAGGGGCAGTGGGAGCGCATGCAGTCCGGCAGAGTCAACGAGCGAGAGTCACTGTGGTGGGGCGGCCAATAGGCCGACTCCCCTCTACCACCCTGAGCCCAGTCTTTTCCATTAGAATATAGATCAACAGAGTGCTTCACCAAATCTGGATGGGATGTCAGTCCGTTGGAGGGGTATTATTTCATTATGGCAACTCCAAATGAGCACTCAAAAGGAATGCATTCTTCTTCATAAAGAAAATCCTATTCAGCAAACGTCCCAGCCTCCATCCCAGCCTCCATCCCAGCAAACATCTAGTTATCCAGGACAATGTCATAGTGAGCCCAGAATCCACCTCCAGCAAGCACAGGGAACAAGGTGGAGGGCTCCCTGGATGGGCTGTTAGTCTACTGCAGGGTCTATTGTGGTATCATAAGGTCATGTTTACCATGCTGGTAACTATTGTATTTAAAAATATATCTTCAGAAAGACAGTGCTGTTCAAAAAACCCATACAGCATGCCGTATACTGTATATGTACAACAGCTACTGCATGTCAGCGTGCATGCATGCATATGCAGAAATAACAAAACAAAAATTATTTAAGAAGATCAATAAACAAATGAACAGCCATCCTCCACTGAACAATGGTCTTGAACATGTGGAGGGTGGATGAAAGGATTTGGAGATTATGACGGCTGTATGAGACGAACCTGGCCGGCCAGCATCTCGTAGAGCAGGACTCCGTACGCCCACCAGTCCACTGAGCGGCTGTAGGGCTGATACGCGATAATCTGCAGAGGGGAACGAAAACAGCAGCGTGAGCCATGCTCTGTGCACCTTCAGCACGGCATTCTCAAAACACACAAGCATTCATTAAACGCTGCACCTCTGTGAAGGAACTTCCCGTTAGGGCGTCATAAAGCGGAGAGCGAGCGAAAACGGTGCCCTCGCTGCATTGCTACACATGCCCTCCGCGCTAAAAGAGTCAGTCAATCTCTCCCAGATAGCAATTAGCATCCTCTTCTGTCTACAACCCCTCATCAATTATAGGGAAAAGTACAGCTTCCTCTGCACTATTTTTACCATCTGCTGTAAGAAAGGCCCAGCTTTCGGCTGCACGTGTGTAATTAAGTACCCGTAGTAAGAACGATTTTCCTATCAGGGCTAAATTAGCTCTTACTCTGAAGAAGAGACCTCCTTTTACGAGTCAACGGCCAAGATAGGCCGAGGAAACAGGGTAAGTAATGGTACAGAAAGAAGTTGAACTGACAAAACTTAATAAAGAAGGATTTTACCATCTACACAGAATCTATTTTTAAGGCGCACAGCGCCAGCCCCCCTACAGCAGGCGGAGCGCATGCACAAACTCACAGTTGCACACTGACACAGTCACTACTTGCCATTTCCCCATTTATTCACCTCTGTGGAATTATACTGAAGATCTCTGCCAAATACTGCTTCTTTTTCTTATTCATTTCCTTTGTACTTTTGTATTATTTATGTCCTATATGCCATGTGAAACCAATGCAATACGTGACTGATCTACTGTAAACTTGAACAGCCTCAAACACACACAACAAAAGAAGAAGAGAAAATTCCACCAAGCAGTGATGTGCATCCATTTCCTGTGTGTGGAGGAGAGCATATAGGAGTGTGCAGAATGGGCCCCACTTTCAGGCATCAGCAAAAGACCCTCGAGTGAGTTACATCAAGCTACTGTCAGTCAAAACCATGAGACACGTTATTCTCCAACACAACTCATTCACGTGGCCTATCTGAAGCTCTGAAAGTCATCAATTATATATGAGTAATGATGCAATGGAAGACCAGTCAGTGGAAAAATGGAGTTTAAGTGGCTTTGTTCAACTAGATACCTGGCAGGAGACATCCTTCGCGGGACCCTTAAGATGCAGGGAGTGTGCACAGCTGCGCAGGCCGCATTGACGAGGGCAAAGCAAAGTTCTTCACCTACATAAAATGTGCCTACAGTACATCTGCATATGTATGTAGCCCGCGGTATGTGTGCATGTAGCCCGCGGTGTGTGTGCATGTAGCCCGCGGTGTGTGTGAATGTGTTAGAAGGCCCCTGCCTTTTGTCTCATGCTAACTGGTGGTGTACCTGCTTCCAGGGCTCACCAAGTGACGAGTCTCTAAATGCACTGGCTATTCTGTCCCCGGTGGATATCAGGTGTGTTATTGCACACATGCTCCCAAGCCAAACCCATTAGAGAAAGATATCCAGGAGGGGGTGGAGTTGAGGTCATGCTTCCCTGGTGCTTTTGTAGCTCTGCCCTGGTCCTGTGGTAGTGCATCAGTGTAAAAGAACAATACTTAGTTTGCATTAGACTTCCAGGTGTAAAAGGCCACTGACAGCACACAGCAGTAACGCAGGCTTAGCCACCGAAGGTCAGTGTGTGGCTCAGGAGGTCAGGACTCTGTGCTTGTGATCGGAAAGTTGCTGGTTCAAATCCCACAGTTGGCAGAATTTCACTGTTGGGCCCTGGAGCGAGGCCCTTAATTTCCTGGTGCTCCAGGGACTGTCTGACCCTGCATTCTCGACGGTGTATCGCTTTGGGTAGAAGTGGTAAGTAAATAAAAGGAAAACTTCTTGCTTGACAAGAGCTATTTAATCAACCTACAGGTTTGGGTTGGGTCAGCTTCACACAGCAGGGCACTTATGGGCTTCAGAAAATGTCCAGGCAGGTGTGGTGATGAAGCAGACCTCATGGGAACAGGGCAAGAAGGAGCGGGGGCAGATTGAGGTGCACACCACAGTACAGCCGGTACACTAACCCACCCCCCCAGGCAACTCCAGAATCACTGAAATTCATGCAGCAGCAGCAGCATCAGTCACAAAGAGCCATACAGTGTATTCAAGAAACCTAGTGGAGATGTTGCATAATGACATGCAGATGGAGAGAATGACTGTGTGGGCAGAGAGAGCAGATGGTTGTAACAAAGAGAGAATAAATCACAAGATAAGGATCAACCCTCGCAGGGTCATAATGGGAACAGGCTCTGTCCCCTCCACCCCCCGAAAACAATCAAAAATAATCTTGGTGTGTCGCTGTCTGCCCATTAAGAAATGAGCCAAAAACAGAAAAGGCAAAAGTCAAATAAGAGAGATTGTGCAAAGAACAAACTAAACTTGTGCCCACGATGCTGGAGAAGCACCATCTCCTGCCGTTCGGGGCTGAAAAATATCCAAGCTGAAGCCAGCTGCCCCAGCGCTGTATGTAGAAAATCATTTATGGGAATTTTCTTTCTTTCGGTGCCGTCCTGTCCATCATTCCATTGGGGGCACAGACAAAACTTAAAGCACATGAAGGCTGTCCTTCCCGGCATAATGCCGGCCTCATCTCACCTGGATTTCTCATATCAACGGCAGGCCGCGGCAACTGCATAGCAACTGCATGGCAGCGGGATTTCAGAGGCTCCCGCCGTCATGCGTCATGCTCGCGCATCGTGTTAATAACGACGCAGCGAGACGGGAGGGGAAGCCGGGAGGACGTAGAGGGACGCGGACGGCCCTTCGTGCCGTTTTCCTCAGACCCAAAGCAGGACCGCTGGCCGGCCGTGGGACACAGGTGACAGAACATTCCCCTCAAGGACGTTCGCTGCTTTGTCAGCAGAAGCGTGGACTTCAAGCTGACAGCTTAAGGAACCGTGGAGCAAGAGGTGTGAGGCAGTCCACATGTGGGGGTGCGCCCCCCCACCCGTTCGTCACCACGGTGACAATGATCGAGGCGGACACCGTGTGACCTTCTTGTCCAGCATCTTCCTCGTTTTCCAGAGATCCGTTAGAGAATGCGGCATGACAGATCGGGATCATGCTGGCAGACACTCAATGTTTTCCTCATGACTACTGGGGGTACATGGCTCCCATACATGCTTCCGGGGGGGGGACCCCATAGATCCCACACCGTGTTCCCAATATAAACAAGTGCAAAAAGAAGGTGGCAGGTCAAGCAGGTGACACCAAGGCTTCTAAATGATTACAGCTCAACTCACATTCTCTTAATCACTGTGGGAGAAAAAATGTCATTCCAGGGTTACGGGATATATAAATTAAAAACTTAAATATGTTTTCTAAATGCATTCATCATGGAGAATGCAAAACTAACAGTGGTTCAACGTTTGCTTTCAAGTTCATACCTTATTCAGATGAAAGTTTTATATAACGACGGGAAGAGATGAATGGCTGGGGTCGATTTTAATAATATTCAGAATATGGTTGTTGTGGTTTACTTTACACCTTCACCAAAGCTAATTATAAGACCCCAGACGGGACAGAAAGCAGATAAACCCAGGGTGTGTGCCGCCCCCTTCGGAGCCAGCGGACCGCAGAGCCACAGCCACCAGATTAGAAAAATCCTTCAGCTGGACTCGATTTCAAAGCTGCTTTTAAGTGCTTTAAGAAATTATAAAGAAAGGGAGAGACAAGATAAAGGCATTAACCCAAATATTCAGCCGGCTGTACTGAGTAGAAATGAAGATAAAACAGGCAGACGGGGGTTGGGGGGGTTAGGGGTCCTCTATTTCATTCATGGAGCGGAAACTGATGGCCGTGTTTTCGGCTGGTTACTCGTGCCTCAGATGCCTGCTGCAAATCTGCAGGCACAGAAACTGCAGCATGTTCCTCCCAGATACGCCCCGCCCCTCCCGAAACTGCTATATAGGTCAAATTAAGAAAAAAGAGCAAAAAAGCTGAGTGCCTTGGCCCGGTGCTGAGCTGCCTGGCCCAGATGGGCTGACTTGCCGTGGTCCTTTCCCAAGAGAACTGCCCAGGCAATAAAAAGGGCCGAGGGTTTCTGCCCCCTGGTGGGGGGTGACAGGAAGGTGCCCAGTCAGACACCTGGCACAGCTTGACGGAGAACCGACTAGACCCGTTGGAAGGAGCGAAAACTCAAGGAAGGAGGTAAATGGCATTCAAAGTTCTGGTTCTGGATAGTGCGGTCCCTCTCACAGCAACACCAATCAACCTCAAAGCTCATTTTAAAGGGATCAATACACCCTGGATGCAGTGGGATGATGATGACATCACAGGAAGCACAGTGCACAGTTTGTTCAGTCTGTCTGCTTTTAACCCAAAATATCATCTTTTCCTTTCCATTCTCTGACTGTCCTTCCTATGGGCAATATAATCAGAACATATAAAGAGAGAGACAGATACTTTATTGATCCTGAAGGAAATTTAGGACACAGACAGTGGTATCTAACCAGTCTTTTGTCTTTAAAAGTGAGGGTTAAAGGTCTGAAAAAATGACCAAGCCATGCATGAAATGCACTGAGTGGTTATAAACCTGTAGCGGGTACGCAGTTCTGTTGCCAAGGGTAACGGCAGTGAGCCTCGCTGATAGGCCATTTTCCTTGTACTGGCGTGAGTGCAGGTATTGCTGCTCTCTGTCCAGAATATCAGCAGTGCTCAGTGTCAAAAAAAGACACTGCTGTGAAGTGAGGTAGCCAGCTTGGGTCTCCTCCCACCTCCCCAAAACGGGCCACGCCTGTCCTCACCTCAGGGGCGATGTAATCCGGGGTACCACAGAAGGTGCGGGTCGCCACCCCCTCCATCATGTTCTCTTTGCACATGCCGAAGTCTGCAATCTTAATGTGTCCCTCCGAGTCCAGCATGACGTTGTCCAACTTCAGGTCCCTAGAATAGATGCCCACAGGACACAGTGACTCAGGGGCAGGAGGACAAACCTGTAAAGAAATCTCAGCCAAGGCTGGCCATCGAGGAGGAGGAGTGAGGAAGAGCTGTTATGTTTTTACCGCTCAATACGCGATGCCATTTATGTTAGCAAGGTCATACTGAACGATCTCGCAAAAACAAGGAATGTGGGTCTTAGTCTTTGCTGGTGCTGGACAATCTGGGTTTATTTTGGAGTGGGATATTAATAACCTTCTTCAACTGACCACAGCCTTTAGAGTCAGGCATGGAACTCTGCGTAACTGACACATGCCACTTCTCAACCAGGAGGAATAACTGGGCTGAACTGCTACGGGCAAAGCGCGACAGCCACAAAGAGAGGATCTCACAGAGTTTTCACTTTCACCTTTAAAAATAATCTGAAGCTTTGGGCTTCTCAGATTGCACTGCTTCTTGTCCTGTTTCTGCATAAGAAAAGCAGCCACATGTCCAAACGGACACACAACAAACATATCTCAGTAGTTCAGACTGGTAATTAAGGTGAATGAAAAAAATACAGGAAACAAACGGAGTATGTGAGAACGGAGTGTGTGGTTTGCTTGAATGCAATCAATGAACTATTTCACTATGGAGAGTAATGACACAATGAAAATGCTCAGTTAACACAAGGGAGTTAACAGTGGTGTGAATAGCAGAGACTCATCACTCTACAAAACAAGTTTTGCATAACTGAGTAATTATAAGATTTGACAAATCTGCAATAATAATTAATGCATTCCTTAATGCATCTAAATTCTCCATATATTTAATACAAATTATATATATATATAAAAAGGCACACATTTCATTTTGAACAATATACTACTTAGAGATTCATTATTACATAAAACTGCAAACAGAACGACTTTTGTTGCAATATATAACAGCACGCCACAGATTACACCCACCGGTAAATGATCCCCTTACTGTGCAGAAAGAACAGCCCAACAGCGATCTCTGCAGCATAGAACCTGCAATGACAGGCAGAGGATTAGCCACGATGGCTGTCAGTCATAGCAAGGTTTACCCTCCAGCACCAGATTCAATGACAGACAGAAGATTGGCCACGATAGCTGTCAGTCACAGCAAGGCATGCCCTCCAATACCACATCCAATGACAGGCAGAGGATTGGCCACGATGGCTGTCAGTCACAGCAAGGTGTGCCCTCCAGCACCAGATTCACTTAACCTGGTGCTCTCTCTTTCTGCATGGCCTTAATAGGCATCCATGTTCCCAGCTCAAAACTTTTCGAAACCCCATTTTTATTTTTTGTGGACAGCTTTACTCTTGTGTGTTGCATTTCAGGCAAATCATTTTTCTATTACTTTATCCCTGATGTAACCTCCAGAAGGAATCAATATTTTGGTATTCATCTGTACGTGTTTATAGCCTATAGTCATATTTGATGACAAGGATCTTAAGCTGTTTGCAGCTGTTCTGGTTGCCTGTGTTTATGCTGGATTTTCTTTAGTTTTTTTAATTTTTTGTAATATGCCTAAATGTTAATTAAATTATATTAAACTGTGGCTATTAATATTTTTATTTTTGTGTGATTTATAGACTTATACAATTAATATTAAAAAAAATCAATTACAATACGCTGTTTTCTGTATTCTTGTAATTAACTGGTAATAGATGATACTGCCATGTTTTCAATATTAATTTTGATTCTCCTGTGTACCGTATGAAATCCAAGCTCTTGATGTTCTTTTAAAACAGTATGTATCCAGTACAGTTGCCTTTTTTCTTTTCACTTGCTTGCTCAAACGAAAAAAAAAAAAAAACTTGCTGCTAATGCTTGTCATCGTTTGGACAATTTCTTCTGGTATGCGAACTTTTCTCAGTTAGTTGCACAAATTTCTCATTGTGTTTGCCGTGAAGGTTTTTGATCCATCAGATTCGCATCTGACTGTTTTGCATATCCGTGTCATCTATTTCGGGTTGTGTTTGGTGTGAAATGGTTTTGATTCTGAAGAGATACATGTGAAATAAGCTGACACCCAGCTGATGGATGTGTCACAGCCGTGTGTATAACCACACCTTCTAGCGAACATTCTTATTGAGACCAAAGTTAGTGCAACTGCTCTTCAGACCTACAGTGTCAAGTCAGGTGACCAGGTAGTGACAAGCAAGTGTCAGTCGGGCTCAGACTGCATGGTGACCTAGAAGAAAAAGTAATTCTTACACTGCCTGTGGCTCCTTGAACTTTCCCACTTGTTGGATGTGATACATGAGATCTCCTCCGTTCACGTACTCCATGACAAAGTACAGCCGGTCCTGGGACGGGAATGGAGAAAGAGTAAAGCCATATCATCCACATGATCATCATGGACTGTGATTTACAGCAGAAGCGACCCTAGATACCTTCAGAGGCCCAACCGTTAATAATCACTGTATACTAAATAAACAGACCACAACTGGCTTTCAATTTCAGCATCATAACACAGCTTTCCACTGTGTGTGTTATGAAAGCATCCTCATGTGCCTATATTGTCTTTTTACTTAGAAGTAAACGGCAGGAAAAAGCTAAATTAAATACACCCAATGAGCCTTATCGTAGACCTGATGGAGGTTTGAGCAACCGAGGTTCCCAAAGACAGCGCACACGGGAACGGAAAAAGCCAGGATGCCTGAATTATGGCTTTAATTTCAGCCGAGAGCCCCGCACCGTAAAGCTAACACAATATTCTCAGAGTAGACCCGGGCAGCGTGTGATAACAGAGCCTTCTTTTCCGTGTCTGACGTCTAATGCACTGCCGTATAAGCTCAGTAACGGGGGAGGCAGTGCATTCGTCTGCCCGCCACCCCCGCTCCCAGTGTTTATTGGGAAAACCGGCCAGAGCTAAGCACTCGCGGCTGTTTATTGCTGACGAGGCGGCTGGCCGCATCCCCCCCCCCCAGCATGAATGAGTGTTTCAGTCAAGTGGGAGTTCAGGTTTGCAGGCCGATCACAGAGGCTCCTCCAGCTCGGAGGCAGACATTACCGGGTGCTATTTCAGAAGAGCTGATTGCTCTCCTAAAGCCATACGTATACACAGATATGTATAAACCAAAACAAAAGAGGTTTGTTCATTATGCGCGTGAATACCAAGCCTCTCATCTCAAATCAAGTGGGCTTTATTGTCATAACATCCATACACGGGTCACAGTGGCATTGAATAATGTGCCCCCAGGACCAGCTCACAGTCCTCTCATCGTTTATCGAGCCTCTTAACCCACTTGTGCAGTGTTAAGCATCTGCTTATCCGAAAACCTAGTTCGGCTGCCAAGATACCCTTAACCTGCCATCTAGGGACGTCTCTAATCCCCCGAGAGAACAACACTGGTGGCTGACAGAAGAGCAGCACGACCACAGTAGACTGGCCAACCTTCACGACACATCTAAATGAGGCCGGGCAGGGCGATGCAAGCGAATCCCCGCCTTGACACGCTGTGGTCAACAACTAGTGACTTTTGCGGGGCTCATCGTAGGGCTGCTTAATGCAGTTGCCCTTTAACGATTCTTTCAGCGAGAAGCGCTGCGGAGGCACAGATGCCAACATGTCAAACCTTATCATCCTAGCGACTGTACAGGGAGGGACACCGGTGGCCTTAATCCATAGTGGGTTTATCGGACTCTCCAGGCTAACCTGTGACCTCTTGTATCGTTCCAGCAAAATTCTTAGGTTTAACAGGAAAAAAGTCGGATGTTTTGAGCCAAAGCTGTTTCAAACCACTTTAACCATATTTGGAACAGTTCTACGTGAAACTCACCAAACCCAAGAAAACCAATAATCATGATCTTTAGCTTGGTGCCTGAAATCCATCTGCACCAGTGGGTCTTTACCTCGGTCTGGAAACAGGAGTGCAGCTGTGTGAGGAAGTGCGGCTTGTTCTGCTGGGCCAGCACCCTCTTCTCCACCATAGTGCACTCTACGTCATCGTCCTGGATCACAACGTCTTTCTTTAGGATCTTGATAGCATACAGCTCATCAGAGGACTTCATCTCAGCCAGCATCACCTAGACAGGGACAATGGGATGGCAGGGTGAGACCATGTGTTGAGATGGAAGTCGTAGAAAATACGGGGGAAGATTATTGCGCTGTGCTTCTCCTTGGAGAAAGACACAGATTGTGAGACGTGTAATCGTAGCCACTGGACGCTCTCAAAAACCTAGATTTTAACATGGATCATTGACTCAGGAGCCATGATTATAATCAAAGTTATGATCAGCATCCCTACTCCTGTCACCCCTACCTTCCCAAAACTGCCTTTTCCCAGCACGGCTAGGAAGTTGAAGTCCGTGAGCTTGACCCTGTCCAGGTTGCTGGATGGCAGCCTGGTCCTGTTGTCTTCCGAAGGCTCGAACACCTTCTTGCCTGGGCCCAGTCTGGCTTTCTGCGGCAATGACAGGGTCAGTTGGGTACAGGGCACGATAAGGACATGGCCACGCGCTGCAAATATCTGTAATGCACAATCCGCAAGCGAAACTGCAACCATTCCATGGTTAAAAAAAAAAGAACAGGGAAAATGGGCGTTAAGCACATTTTATGAGGTGCAGGATATGTTCTTGCCGTGAGAGGTCCTGCACTGTATCAGCATTTCCACAGCGTGTGAGATGTTGGCGAGGGTGCTGGAAGAGGAGGTGGGAGGGGGGTTCATGGGGTGCCGTCGGGGGTTGAATATGGTTAACATGTTGCCTCCGGCGGGTGGAGGTCCTACCCGAAACCTTGATAACAATGACTGGCCTGCGTGAGCAATTACTGCTGGAGAAATGGGGTCTCTTCCACTACTACATCCATCCTGACTTTGTTTGTTTGTTTTTTTTTTAATTAAAATTAAAAAAAACACTTTTCATGCTCTGACGCTGGCGGTTTGCCATTTTGCAAGGAGGGTACGAAAAAAAAAAGTGGAAAATAGCCCTTATGTGCGATTATCTGCTGGATTCCACAGCATTGTTTTATTGGCACAGGAAGCACGGAGGGTCGCTGCTCGCATTAGAGGGCAGACTGGGTGTCCTGCATGTGTGCAATGTTTCAAAGCTTGTTCTAAAAATAGAAAAGACGCTAAATTCACGATTTGTCCCATGATGTGGACATTTTAACTGGAAAAAAATGCATAGAATGCAAGAATATTAAAATATCTAAATGGCATCTAACGAAAAATTACTATTACATCATGTCTGATGAATAGCTGTCAGGTGTGAGAATAAAAGCTCGACAGGGATATTTTATATATTTATGGGGATGGCAGTGAGGCTGCATTCATCTGCATTCTGTTTGCATCCCATTTTCACCCATCCTCAGCCTTCAGTGTCAGGGCGGGACGTCAGCCGACCCTCCACCAGATACACTGCAGCCATTTGCCGGAAAATTGCCCCTCGCTCTTCATTTAAAGATCATCTATCCACCTAGCATACTGCATGCACCATCTTGGGATTGACAGTGTTAGAGAATGTTAGTTCATCACAATCACTTGATACTAACTTTAGAAGAACAAAGCAGCTCTGTGAAGAATGAGTCAGGAAGAAAATACAGTATTTTTCTTTAATATCAGTAGGTATATTCAGGAATAGGCGGAAGTGCAGTGCATGCTCAGAGCACACATCAGGGCACAGAGCACACATCAGGGCACGGCACACATCAGGGCACAGAGCACACATCATGGGCACGGCACACATCAGGAAACGGCACACGGGTTGCTTAGGCACCTCAGTGTGCCTGCTTTTGCCGGAACACATAGCACGGACACACATGGCACACGTGGGGCCGTCGTCGAGCTGTCGGCCGGAGAGGCGTGCGGGCACTGTCGACGCGGGGAGGTCCGTTTCCCCTCCTACGCCCGGGCTTACCCAGGAGCTGCGGAGGGAACGTTACGTCTAAATGTGTCGGCTGGGTTAATTTAGCAGCCACACGCATGGAGAGCACAGACCAGATTCACGCACCAGACCAGACCAAACCAAAGCCCAAGCAAAGAGAAAGCAGCAAACCAGCTATATTTCAGCCAAGACCCACCTTATCCATGGCTCCCACACTGTCAACCTGAAATCACACGTCAGCTGGTCAGCATTTCATACGATCGTTGCCGTCAAACACACTCCGGCACGACGGCATCCCGATTCCCTACCATGTTCCTAGGATTCGCACCCGATAGGTGTGTAAACTAGACACGGGCCAAATGGCTGGAGTTTCCGGGAGAGTGGGGGAATTTGCATCCGCGACGGGCCGTTAAACAGCTCTGCAGTTACTTTCAGAATTAAACACTATAAAAACAGCAAGCATACTCCAAACAGCACTCTTACACAGGCTAAGGCCGTGGGAGGTCACTTCATAAAGGCCGTTTTGCCTGCCTGAGCTGTCCCCGCAGCCCGGGGTATCTCCAGCTTAGCATGTGGTGCAACAATCTGCCATCTACCCCACCATCCGTGGGGGTCCCATCCCATCCAGCGGAGATAACGACAGGCTGCCATCCTCCCCGCAACACAGCCAATTAGCTTTGGCCTGTATTTTAAAACAAGACAAGCACGTTCCTAAGCAACATCACGGAGCAGGTACTCGACTGTGGGGTCCGCCAGAAGAGGACCCAGCTAACTTTCTCCCATGGTAACAGGTGCTGACATGGTAACGGGGAGGCAGACAGGATGCTGGGGGAGGCGAGCGGCTGTTGTAAATCATTTCCCGGAAGAGCGATTCTCAGCAATGATCTTCTCCTTATTTCAGTAACCGTGACCGCAGGGAGTGGACCAGGCGGGTAATTGTGGCTTAGAGCACTTTGCGCGGCTAACGGGGGGACGTCTACCAAATGCACCTTGGCTCTCTGGTGGTGGGGGTGGGTGCACTTGTCACGACTTATTTACACGAGGATGCCAGTGGGTATGGTTAACCCCCCCCCCCCCCGGGAGCACAATTGGGGAGCCCAAGGAGCAGGGTCCGGGGCCTTGCCAACCCCCCCCCCCCCGGGGGGAGTGGCTGCTTCAATTACACATTCACATGAGAGCCAGTACATCACATCAGTTGTTTATACAATAGATTGATAACTGCCCCCCCCACCCCATATGCCGTTCCTCCACTGGGCTAGAACAGAAGCCCCAAGAAAAGGGGGGGGGACACTGAACTTGAGTTTCATTCCAACTCTAAATTCATGCAGTAGTGCCTAGAAGGTAAGGAGAAGCCAAAGATCTTGGGGGATCACAGAGGATGAACTGAGTGATGCCTGTAAAGATTATCCTGCATCCCTGAAGCTCTGCTGCAGCCCCTCGAAATGTCACTACGACTACAGACTACTCATCTGCATAGCATTCAAACATACTCTGCCATGGTACATTTTAAGACAACAAATATCAATTTAAAGGTTAAATGTTAAAAGTAGAAAATAACAGAGTTAATAAAGGTCAGGAATTCATAACGTACAACTTCTGCTGATCACAGCTGACAGTGGTCAGGTGTTGACAACAGGATATGCAGGATTTAGTGATTCCGCCCCAGAGCAAATACACTGGCCTTTCAGCTGCGGCCATTCAGCAGGAGTTTCTTTATTTGAAATTGCCTCACAAACTCCAGGAAGCGAGCACTTGTCATATCTAATGGCAGAACCAGACATTAAAGCCACGGAAATCACACATTGCCAGCATCCTGCCCCTGAACAGCAAGGCTTGGAAAATTAGCAGTGCTATGCTGCCACCTTGTGGGCACTTCAGGAAACTTTCTACAAGAAGCATGGAAATCTGTATATCTGGAGGGAAAAGCTCTCTATACACATAAAGCCAAAAAATACCAAACTACTAAATGATTGGCAAGTCATTCCGTCAATGACAGCAGGCTGTCCTAAAGACTATAAATAAATGCCTGTTCTCTCCTTGAAACAGACTGACCAGACAAATCCAGGTGAAAGCAAGGATCCCTACTGGACTTCTCCTGTAGGTAGATGGGGTGGAGGGTAGTGGATGATTCAAAATAGGTAGTGTGACAGCAGGTTCTGGAAGCTGCTTTGAGTATTTGAAGAACTGCAACACTGCTGAGGGTCTGCAGCTCAGCCGCGTACCATGTGACCGCGTGCCATGTGACCGCGTATGACGGCCCGCACCCGCATCCCCGGGGAGCACCGGCCACACTTTTCGAGTTCATGCCCTGGCGAACGGAGGCTCTTCTGAGGCAAACAGAGCGCGATGCTATATCTGGGAGGTGTCTATGACGCCCTGAACAGTCAGTATACTTGCAAATACAGAGTAACTGATGTGTGCTGCAGCGAGCGGCACCTGAAGCAGGACACTGAACGCTGCACAGTACCAACCTGGAGCCTGCATACAGCCATATTTGTCACTTTACAGCATAAGAACAGTCACAGACATTAAAACAAAATGACGATAAATTTGGGTATTAATTCTTAAAAGTCACTGGTATTAATACTGCATTTCTTGACTTTCAATCAAATATACAGCCACATGCTTCTGAACCTTTGGCTAATATTGGCACAAACTCAACCCCTACCAACTATTGCACTTGGGTTTGTTTCATTCCTGGTAGCAAACCCAGGAATGTAAAGCAGGTCGAGATGCTCACGGCCATGAGAGCCGCCCTGCAGAGTGACGGTGACAGCGTGTGGGTCGGGTGTGAGTGATCACCAGGTGTAGGAGGACAGCGGCACGTGCGAGGCTCACAACTATCCCCGTGCATCATTAGATGAGGAGTTGATGATGGGAGCAGCATCCAGGTGAGCCGGCACAGACATGGGAGACACAGCACAGACAGCATGGAACCCCCATGCCTGCACTGACAGCATGCCTGCATTCTGAGGGCAGGCCTTCTGTACTCTGAGTCTGCGGTGGATTGATAAAAACCAGGGCGCCAATCTTCCCCCGGCGGCCTGCCCTGAGGGAGGGGGGCCTTTTTCGTGAGGGTGCCAGGAACTCCAAGAAAGATGTTATGGAGGCATACATGACGCAGGGTGCGGATGGAGAGTGCACGGGGATAAGGTAAAGTGCCAGAGATTTACTAACAATATCAGAAACGCCCCTGGGAGGGGGGCAAGCCCGGTGTGCTAGTGCCTGTTCGCCCTGGGGACCTGACCTGGGAACAGTTTTGCCACTCGACTAGTAACCGGACCTGAGTGTTAATATAACACAGAGATCCATTATATGTGTGGGAAGTCAATCGTAACGAGCACGGATCTCCAGCACCGTGAAGCCGAATGGGCCACATTCACATCTCAGACGGGGGTCCGTCTTCGCAGACACCTTGCAGAGCGTCTCCTTAGCTGCTCCCTGTTCCTCAGGCTTTGCTGGCAGCTTGTTTACATCATGAGCACCACTCTTCTCTACATTCCCCCTTCAGGATTTAGATGGTATGTCAACATCTTAAGACAGTGGTAATGTTAAAAGGAGCTGGAGATGGAGCCTCACACATTTTCCCGCGACCCACCTCAGAAACTAAAGCCGTCACGAGTGAGGGTCCACCGTGGGATTTATCTGTATAAGTCTCTCTCCTCTTAGCCACGCTGCCTGCTAGCTTTGGTATGACCCGTCTTGTAACCCAGCTTTTCCATTCATTGTTAGTAAATTGGATATATTTGCAGTAGCTGAGGGCTACTTACAAACAATCAGAGAGTTAAAGAGTGTGGAATGGGACACAGGACACCAAGGCAGAGGGTAATCAAGGGAGTGCGCGGAGAAAGCTGGGATCAGGGAGAGAGGGAGGGAGCGTGAGCAGGGGAGGAGAGGAGATACCTGGAGGAAGTGGAAATGAATTTGGCAGTCCTGGAAGAGACAGAAGAGAAACTGAAACATTAGTAAGGTTTACGGAGGGGAAGGAGTCGGGGCAGCTGAGGTCATGCAGGTCCTGGAGCGAACTAGAGAAGGGGAAACACGCAGACACAGGACGTGACAGAATAGCTCTGTGTTCTGCTGACTTTGTAACTTGCACTTCTTGAATCTATATTAGTCTGGAAGGACAGCTTTTTCTCAGTGCTGGGAAGAAGAACCAGAGTTTTACACCAAACTCAATGTAATCACTGCACTGAGGATTACAGGTGTAAAAAGTCTTATACTGGCTCCCATAAACATTTGAGCATCAGCTTTGCTGAGCAACTTCACGGGATAAAAGTCAGTCCGAGTCTTTCTTTTTCCAAGTCCACTGACTGGTGAGAATTCCTGGAAAGGTGTCGTCGATGACTTCACACTGCTTAGTTTGTGGGCCCTGTTTCCATGGTAACTGAAGCCGGCCCCAATGATGCAAGGATAATTCAAAAACACTGATGATGACAGTAAAAATCCATCCATCATGTTAGTAATATAATATTAACTATACTATGCTATAATAATAATAATAATAATAATAATAATAATAATAATAATAATAATAATAATAAACACCTTAATGACACATTCGCTCACTCTGCAGTGTCACTACAGTAAAACTAAACAAAATAACCATACTCTTGGTCATTCTTTTCAGCTGGGGTCGAAGATTTTCTTGAACAAAAGGTGTCAAAGCTACTTTAATAACTGTCTATCTGAGGGCCACAAAGGACACAGAGAATTGTGTAAAGTCTGACTCCATATGCAGCAGGAACGGGAATGAAATGTACAGCCCAGTGCTCCAGGGGAGAGGGAGCAGTCCGACACTTAGGACATGTCAATCAGAAGATTCCTTTATGGGTGACGGCGGTTCCCGCTGACCTGCCCTGATGTCGTGAATAACGGCAGGATGTGTACCCTGAGATGCACGCGACATGTGCATGTGATCCTTCCAGATATCACCACACTGCATTTCCATTTTAAATGGGGGGAGGGCAGGAGTGTTGCGTAAGGGGACACGATGATCTGCATCCTCATTTCCTCCCTGAAGGTAAAATCCAAAGGGGAGGGGAGTGTGGCAACTGTGATGGGTGGGTTTAGGTTAGTCATTATCGTAATACATAATTAACCACTCCTCTCCATGCATTCCAGCCGTGCACCTCTGAGGCACAGTGCGTTAGCCTATTAGCGAATTAGCAGCTCACCTTCTCACTACCCTGAATATGGTCCGACTTTAATCACTAATTACAGTGCTGTAATACCCACACCCTGCTTCGCTGCTGTGTGCCAGTGTAACGTCAGTCAGATAACAGCCCGCATGGCAGCTGTCCTTGCCCCCTATCTCTGTGTCTGTCCTACGCAGCACGAGGAATGTTTGAGGGGAATGACAAAATGGCACCGCTGTGGCCCAGTTATGCGCAGGGAGGCGGGGAGGGGACTAATGCTGGCCGGGAGGGTGCTGGGTGGCGGTGGGGGGGGGGGCGGTTCTTGCCACCGAGCCGCTGCGTCAGCATGGGTCAGTGAGACAGGCGGTTGCCATGGCAACGGCTCAGGTGGCCACGGCTCAGGTCCCCGGGAGGTGCCCCCCCGCCCCCCCGCGATGTTAACAGGCTGGCAGGAGACGCCGGAGCCTGCGGGAGGATCGGTGAGACGGGCCAGAGGAAGGCTGAGACGCCTCTCACCGGGGACCTCTGCTCGCATCCAGCCCAAACCATTAAAATGCGACGCCTCACCCGGCTTGGCGTGAAACTCAGCTAGACGCAGTCGCATTCAATCTTGCCCGTTACGGCCAGTCATGCACAATGCGCAGCATTAGAAATGACAGGACATTAATGCTTGTACAAAAATTATAGCGCTATAGGACTCGGAGGAGGCAGGAACAGAGGATATCTAAATAATCCCATTTTTATCCTGCAGGGGGTCTGTCTTTCAGTCTCATCCGAGGCCTGTGGTTGCATGGCTGGTATGAAAACACGACTGCAACATCGATGGATGTTGTTGATACTGTAAACTGCCGACAGGTGAATGAAAAGCATGAAGCTCGAGTGCTGAATTACAACCAGCCGAAGTTGCGTTCCGTGTCTACGTGGTGCGTGCATGATGCCTCTAAAATGGATCTATCTGGCCAGACTCCTGAGGACCAGCTTAGCACAAGCAGCGAGAAGCACAAAGACAAAGCCTGCTCATTCCATTCCTGAAATCTGGCTTTTTTGTTTAGGGCAAGGCTCCATGTTCATTTTTAATATTTATGTTCTGGACCATAGAAATCCATCCTCTCTATGGGCCTGAATGTACAGTGGCAATCTCTCTCCACATCTGCACTCTCGGAGTTGTGGCAGGAATCTTTGAGTTATTAAGCAATTACTAACTGCCTCAACGCAACGGCTGGTGTTTGGACTGGGGCTGTAATGATGATGGTAATTAATGCATAAAGGCACAAATGCCACATCTATCAATGCAGTTTTTCTGTTTACTAAAGGACAGGCTAGAGCAGTGTTTCCCAACCCGGTCCTCGGGGAACCCCGGACAGTCCACGCTTTTGCTTCCTCTCAGTGCACCTGTACCAGGTATTCGGTGTTCCTGATTGACTGGGAGCTGGGAGGGAGCAAAAACGTGGACTGTCCAGGGTTCCGCGAGGACTAGGTTGGGAAACACTGGGCTAAAGTATGCAGACACATTACATTGGGTGACTGGTGATCTCCAAGGCTACAATAGAATATGAATAGTGGGACTAACCCTGAGGAGGGTGGGAATGATGCATGTGCTATAAGGACAGGGTTTCTCTATCCTAGACTCCTGTGGAGCAGACTCCTGCCACCCCTTCCATTTCCCCTCCCTGTAGACTTAGGGGCTTTGCAAACAATGGAAACGTTCTTCCCTATCACTCTCTAATCCGGCTACATTCTAATAACGCAGACGCTGATTGTTCTTTCCTCATTGTTTTTGCGCTACAATAATCAGACTTTGCTTTGAGTCATCTCCTCCCAGACATACTTGAATTGTGAACCTATTAATTTTCAGATTAATGAAATTAATTTTCAAATTTCAGCGCGGAGGGGAACAGCAGGATAAAACTCATCCCAAATCACTGAAATGTTATGTGTTTTGGACGCAACGAGTCTACAGCAAAGTGTCCTAATGAGATCATCGTGCAGCAAAGTGTCCATGAGTTGATTGTGCAGCAACGTCTGCACATAAGGTTTCTGGAGTTTGAATTCCACCTTTATTGCAGGCAGATAGACTGCTGGGGTACAAACGTCAGCTGGTTTGTAAGAGGTCATCTCTTCTTCTTGAAGGCTCAGGGTGGACAATAGGATGAGTCACCTTTTACCTGGGGGCTGCCCACCTGAAACCCTTAACCTCTTCAGTACACAAAGAAACATCACAAAGCTGGACTCCAGGTTCTCCTAAAACAGTGATTCTCAACCCATGGGTCATGCCCAAATTTGGGTTGCAGCAAGTTTTGAAAGGGTGGCGAGGCAGAGTTGGAAATGTAAAGCATTTTAAAAACAGCAAGCTCATCGGCTGATCCATGATCATGTTTCCAAGCCCCAATTCTAGAATTAACCTATATTAACGGGTCTTGGGTCTGCAAATGCTTAGCGCAAAACTAGTGACCACTCAACCAATCCAAGTTGCCAATCCAAAGACGCTTAATTTAAAATTCACTGGCACATCCAATCAGATTTGTGCAATAGACATTGATTGGCATAATTTGCAGAGTGCACTGCATGCTTGATTAAAGCGTTAATTTAGACCTATAATTGATACAGGGTCGCGACTATGTTGACATGGTAAAAATTGGGTCGCAGTGCAAAAAGGTTGAGAACCACTGTCCTAAAAGCCACTGAAATTGCGAGAAAATTAAACTGGTATGGCTGGGTGCTCCAATGTCAAGTAGGCTGCCATTTAAATTCAGGGCAAACAATCTACTGTACAAATGCAAATGACTCTAGCAAGGAGGTCTTCGATTGCCCCTGGCCAGCAATTAATTTAGCAAATAGATAATAAGGTCTGTGAGGGAGCTTACCGAGTTATTGTGAATATCTGCAGAATTTAGCACAATATGAAGGAGACTGAGCTGTAGCTCACATTATCCTTCAATGCATATGCAGGACTCTGGACAGTAAGGGAGCCATAACACAAACCCAGGGGGAGATACAAGGGCCATATACTCTGAAAAGAGCAAATATTTGTAAACCGCTTAACAAAACAGTAAAATCACCTATAGAAGATTCCAAAATCAAGACAAAGGAAATGAAAACAGACACAGGTTCTTGGAGACCTATGGCAACCCCCCCCCCCCCCCCCATGGGACAGGGTCCTGACTCTGAGCGTCAGCTGACACCACGTCTGCAGGTGAGGCCTGAGTGGCCAGCCTCACCTCGAACTTCTGCAGGAGCTCCATGTTGCCGTCAGTCTCGTCAGGAATGGGTACGTTGTAGTACTCTCCCTCTTCCTGGTTCAGCATTTTGTACCTGGGTGACAGAAACGAGGTAGGGATCAGGATGGGGTCTAGAGAGACCATCTTCGTTATTAATGCCCTTTGAGGTTTTTAGGTTCATCACTGCAGTTGCTGGGGGGGGGGGTGCAGGATATGGGAGGGGGTGCACAGCTCATTATGCTGCTACATACAGGAGTTAATGGTAAAATTATATTGCCTGCAGGTGTGATTAAGATATGAAACGAAAAAAGAATATTTATGATTATATCGGTTTCAAAGCAATTCTGTCCCCAGATGAACCTGGGAATGTGGTGTGAGAGTGGGATGGTGTGGCACTGTCACTGTGTCCCTCGTGCACAGCTGTGGGCTGACATGGGAGCCGATGGGAGGCCGCTGGTGATTGTGCCGTCAGGCGTCGGTGATTAAGTCTCAATTATAAGCAGGAAGCTTCACTACAAGCCTTATTCAGTACGGGGACACACAGTAAGCCTACCACAAGAAACATAGTAGGAACATGCAACCTACACACACACACGCCACCAAAGCGAATGACTTCACGGAGAGCAAATCATGGAAGAAGGCCACAGGTCTCAGCCAGCGTGGGAGGACGGCTCCCCCCGCCTGCCTAGATTATTAATGCCTCAAGGTCCAGATGCCCACTTTGGTCTAAAGCCTGGGGTCATGTGACTTCATCTCATTCAGCCTCTACCAGCAGTAAAGTACATCACCTTTCACGACTCCAGCTCTCAGCTGCAACGGTACAAGGGAGCAGGGCAGAGATACTCCATTCACACCGACTTATATGCACTGACATCAGACTTATTGATATAGTACTGCAAGGCAGACATCCATTCTGAAAGTACAAATGAAGTCATAACCATAAATAAACACAATAAATGGTTTTTCTAACTGATTAGAGGATGAGAAATATAGGTAGGTTAATAACTTCTCAGGCCTGATTTATGCAAATCGATACAAAAACTTTAGCATGCCTCCGCGTGCAGGGCCCCTAGTGATGTAAATGACTGTCCAATAAGGAGTGAGAAGGCCAAGCAAATCCACCTATAGGATTAGGGAAAATGTTAACGAATAAAAAATAAGGGGTGGGTTCGATTTAAAAAGTGGAAGGAGAAGATAAGAAATGAGCAAACAGACTCCCCACGCTGAAAGATCTTGTTGTGCAAACTCGGCTCTCTTTTGAAAAACATGGATATTTGAGTAAATACAGCAATGTAAACTGCACAGATGTTGTTAAGGACACCGCAGGCTGCTCATGGTGCCTTGTGCACATCTGCATGTTTTCGAAAGGGCAAAGACAATGTCAATTTACAGTGCTTCTAGGGGAAGTTCATCCTCACCAGCCGCAAACTTGAGACTTCATCAGCTCTGACACGCCGAAAGACAGGGAGCCCATGAAGTCATTGCGGGTGGTGCGGTCCCAGTCCCAAACCTCCACGGAGAGCCGGCGGTCCTTGTCCGAGGGCTTCAGCTTGCTGTGAGACACACACGGGGAGCGAGTGAAGCACGCGATCACACAGAACCGCGGGCTGCCGATGGCTACGGGTCCCGCGCAGACTCACAAGGCGAAGGACTCGTTCCAGATGGGGTTCAGAGAGGAGCGGATGGTCTTGGTCTTCTGCTTGGTCTCGTTCTTTGGGTCGGGGATGAGCTTCAGTTTGACGTAGGGGTCGGACAGTCCGTTGGGGTCCATCGGGATCAGATTTTTTCCCTCCCCGACTGCAGAAAACAAACACACAGGCAGGCAGAAAGCCCATTTTAGAGAAAACATTACACCTGTTAATGACTGGCATGCAATCAAAGGTGTTTTTAGAGCTTTGCTTCTTCGAGGAAGTCAGTCATGGGTGAATTACCTACTTAAACATCAGTGAACTTCATTAAAAGCAAAAGGTTTACAGCTTCTCCAGTGCAGGTATTTCCTTTCCGCTCATTGCAAGCCGGTCCTCCTGTAGCAGAGCACACTGCGGGGGTGTGAATTGATTATACCTCCTTGTAATAAGGGGGAAAACACCTCGCCTCTCGAATGAAGCTTTTCCAGAGCTAACCATCAACAATGTGAAACGAGTCCAGTGTGGCCGGTGGAAGCGTGTGCCTTCACGGCTTTGATGAAACAGATCAAACGGTTATGGAAATCAACGCTGTGTTTACGGGGCAAAGGCTGGATTAAAATAATATCAGAGATCAGGAGGCATCAAAGGATTGTCCTGCAGCCGACCTTACAAGGATGAACGGAAAAGCCTCCCAGGTTCAAAGGCTTTCAACTAACAACACAGTCATGTACACGGAGAACACGTGACTGAGATTTTACTCGCATGTGACAAATAATCACTGCCACGGATGCTTGGCGGGGAGTAAGGTGTCCATCCTGTGCAGCCTGAAACTGCGGCACTATAATGATAAAAGAGAAAAGCCTGTTAAGTCCTTCTAGAGCCCAGTATAAGTTTTCACATTATTATGGTCACCGCTGCACATAACGAATGTGAGATCTGACAGCTCACAGTTCAGCAGTCTGTAAAACAGCGAAGCACGACTGAAGCGTGTGCATGGACCATTTCTTCAGTCCCCACAAGGGAAAACTCAATTTTACAAAAATCTGTCACTGCAATCAAGAAACTAAACATGCCTAAAGTCTTATATTTTGTTTGGTTACTTATGATTAAGGTTAGGGCTGGGTAGGGGTTTAGCTTGTCATGGGAATAGGGTTTACCCGTAGAAATGAATGGAGGGTCCCCACAAAGATATCAATACAAATGTGTGTGTGTGTGTGTGTGTGTGTGCGTGCTGTGCGACAGCTGCAGAGAACGCCGGGACAGCACGGCTGGCAGGGGCTTTAACACCCCATTAACAGCCTGGAGGAGCAGCCACTCCCCTCGTTTTAACTCCCCCCTGCCTCAGCACGAGGACCTCTGGGGAATCACACCTGCCGCTCGCACCCTGTTACCGTGGCGAGGCACGGAGTCAGCCTGACCGATGCCGGAACAGGGAAGAACCGCTTCGGGCCAGATGGCCGGTCACCATGTCACCAGTACACAATGACACACGCCGCGCAGATGGGGCAGCGCTCTGGAGTACACGCCCCCGGAGTGGCACATCTGCCTTTACACTACCTGTGTGCATCATGGACTGCGGCCTTTTAAACACTAATTAACACCAACGTCGATGGTCTTTGGCCTTTTAGACAGTAATTAACACTAGACTCCAACGACATTAAAAAGATAGAGGAAAGTCGGTGTCACACGGCGCAGCTTCACGGGTCGCAAATCAAATTAAAATGCGATCTGGAACCTGAAATCCAAACACAGAACTGAAATAGAAACCAGGGGTCACACACAAAGCAGAGTGGTTTTACTTCACTGCCGTTTCCGAGGATATACAGTAAGGTGTGTGGTTAGGGCTAGGAGTGCAGCCACGGAAGAGTAGTGGTTCTCAATCCGGTCCTTGGGCATTCTCAGACGGTCCACGTTTTCGCTCCCTCCCAAACAGCCCACATTTTTTGCTAGGGAGCTGGGAGGGAGCAAAAACATGGACTTTGTGGGAGCCCCACGGACTTGGTTAAGAAGCACTGCAGCAGAGGCCTGAGTAGCAGGAGCACTGGAACCTTACAGCATCTTCTGAGACTTCAATATGTGACCCTGACACTAAGCATCAACGCTGAGCGGGAGCTGTAAAGGTTCAGTCTCTAGAGAACGAGCGCATGTTGAAAGGGATGCAAGGCGGCCTCCCAAACAATGAAGAGAAAGAAGACCTTGGCTCAGTTCATCACTGTAGTAAGAGGCTGCTGTGAATGATGGGTGAAAAAGCACGACGTGAAAGAGTGGAAAGGCTGTAATAGGCAGCCTCTGCAGTAAGCTGACTGAGGCCTGGGCTGTGGATGCCTGCAGTCGCATGTGAACGTCCCGCTAACAGAAAGCCGATCTCTAGCCACTTGCAAAATGATGCTCTGTGTGTGAATTGCTGACCGTCTCTGAACGAATCTGTCTGCTGTCATCTTTAAAAAAAAATCACTCAACGCCATGATCTAGCTTCCAGGTACCGGTAGGTGGCCTCCATTTTAAAAAGAGTCACACGCAAGGATGAAGGGAGCCACTGGTGAACAGGTTTGGAAAGAGGCATGAAAGCAGAAAAATCCCCAAAAAAAGGCCCAGAAATGGCTTGGAGGGGTTTACATCACATTTACACAAACCTGCGCTCATGATAATTATTGCATGATATGCTGAAAATGACAAAAGCAGCAAATATTGAAACACATTAGTAGGATTGCTGAAAATCATAATTAAAATAATTACAGTCGATATTTCCCGTTTTTATCATGCTAAAATAGCAACAGGTGATGAATGAATTCCTCACAGCTGCTGCAACTGCACTTTTGACCAACAGGGGGGGACAGAGAGCTTCAGATCTGTTACTGCAAGCAGCTGAGGGACTCAGCCTAGGGTGATTGGTGTCTGCAGCAAAAAGCACACAGATTATCGTATTTCACAATCCGCATGGCCGCCCGGCGTCTTACACGCCTTCTTCACGACACAACAAGTGTGGGCCTCCTGTTTATTCTGGGACAGACCGTTTAAAATGTAGCTCAGAATTGGGGAAGATTATCAACATCTCTTCAGTGTCAGAATCCTGGCCAAAGGCAGCCCGATATGTCACGCCGCGCCTCCGACGACGGCTGGTGCCATATGCTCCGCTGCGGCTGGCAGCAGCCCTCGTCTGTTACTGTCTGGCTTTATTAAGGTAAACTCATGCAAACTGCCTGTCCCCACTGTCCAGTGACAGAGCAGGACACAAACAGCAGGGTTTACCCTACTGCTGTTGCTTGGATACGATATCCAGGAGTGCCTGATTCTCATTTCCCTGCCTTGGATTAAAACGGAGACCAAGCTGCTTCTGATATTACAATATTAATGCAGGCCTTTTTCCGCAGCCTGGCCTCCCCCCCCCCCCCCCCCCCGCCCTTCTGGCCCTTATCCGCCTCTTTTCAAAAGCAAACCACGTTCAGAAATAAAGCAAACACCAGATGCTCTTTATCGAGTTTCTCCCGGTTCAGCCGTCAGCTCGTCACATTCCATGCCAGTTAACGCTGATCAAAAAGATCGTTTTTCAAAAGAGCTGCATTTACATTTATTTATACAACACACGCTTTCATCCAAAGCAACATACAATTGAGAAAGCGGAGTTAGCCAATCCCTGGAGCAACTGGGGTTAAGGACCTCGCTAAGAGCCCAACAGTGAAACCACTGCTGATCACGGGATTTGAACTGGCAACCTTCTGATCAGGTTCAGAGCCCCAACTCAGAGAGCCCCATGCACCGGAGAGGTATGGGGGGTATCATTCAATTACATTCCTTTAAGAGGTTGAGGAATTTTCATTTAATTCTCATTTCTTCATTTTCTGTTTTTCAGTTCCTCTGAAAAACACAAAAATGCACAACCACACAACCAAAGCACCTTCTGACTCACTTTGCAAAAATGGGCTCACATGGACAATTTGTTAGACTCTATACAGAAAACACAGTGATAAGAACTGGAGGGGAGATTTTCTTTACGACGGGATACTGCTTCTCTCCCCTCAGTATGCTTCAAACCGTGGAAAGCCCATCCGGAAACACTGGAAACCCACAAGCCTTCGACGCAGACCCCTCCTCCAGGAGGGATGCCCCCCCCCCCTGGTCGCAGCTGGACATGCGTGAGACGTCACCAGGGAACAGATGCCTTAATGGCACCCTGCGATCGCCCGCCACCACAACGCGGTGAAGGGGTGAGTCAGGGAAGGTTTCTACAAAAAGGCCACAGAGCCGCCACCAAACCCCCAACCCCCCCCCCCCCCCCCCCCCAGGCCGACCCAGCAAGCAGGGAAGGAAGTGGCAGAGTTGCGCAACAGCACAGCACACATGATGAGACTCATGTTCATTCATGTGTACTAAAAAAAAAAAAAAAAAAAAAACTTAAATGACATCCCAGCAGTCTGGCAGTGAAGCAAATTGGCCACTTGTGGGAGTAACTCTATTACTTCAGGTGTCGTTTACTTCAGTAATGCATCAGCTCGGAGGGCTTTGGGGAGGGGAGATCATTTACTGATATGCGCTGGTGTGAAGGACCTATCCTTTTTGTAGAGTCTGACCTCCTGGAGAGCTTCTATCCTCCATCCAGGAGATGTCACACCTTTGACACAGAAGACTCTACTTCAGAGTCCCATGCAGCAGTTCAAGAGCCGGCAGAGAAGTCCCATATATATAAATCTGCAACTTTATTGCTCTTAAATTTCACTCTCCTCCCCTCGATAAACACTTACTCAATCTTGAGAAAGATGCTGTCGTAAAGGGCACGGGGCATGACTGTGCCCGGGGGCCTGAGTGTCACCTGCGGACTGTAACTCCTGTGTGGCTCCTTGCCACCCCCCACCACAAACCCCACGGGCACCTGCCTGCAGCAGCTCCTTAATTCTGTGTGGGAGTCTTTATCATGGAAAGCGTTCGATGACAAGGGGATATTAATCCCCCTCTGACAGCCCTGTCTGAGCCGCTTACTGATGGGGAGGGACCAAGCTGAGGCAGATATTGGGCCCGTAAATCCGCTGCCATTCTAGCGCATCGGCGGATTGGCTGGCTGGGAGAGCAGAGCGTTGCAGCCACCAATCACGTGGCTAACGCCTCATAGATGATGGGCATACATCATCTGCCTATTTGAACCAGTTGGTTTGCTTTCCAATATTACTTGTTAAT